TCCCATGGGAGCTCCTATTCGAGCTTGAGCATTCCCACAAGGCTCGCGAGGGTGCTAGGGAGCATATTAGAGAGGGTTTATCTGTTCAGAGTTTGGGAGGGCCAGTGTACAGCAGGTAAATTAGCTGGTTTATCAGCCATTACTAGCGATCTGTTCTGCGCGTCTTCGAAGTGGGTGATAAGGGTCGAGACGCCGTAGGCGGACAGTTGCAAGGAGGGCTATTCGATCTAGTTCGATTTCTAGTGGAGAGAATCCAGACTCTCGATAAAGGACTGGCTTTGGGGTTGTGTGGAAGACTGGAAGGACTGCTCTTGCGCCTGTTAGTATTACTTTAGTTAGTTTCTCAAGATGTTCTCCAACTCGGTTTGAAATCTAGGAAGGTCCAGGGCGAGTACGTCCTGGCCACCAGGTTTCTATGCTATAGTATACTTTATAGAGTACACAGGCTGATACAGCCTGCTATAGTAAATCAGGTTTAACTCCTCGAACAGTATTCCCTAGAGAGCGAAGAGCGTTAGCTACAGTAAGGGCTTTAGATGCTGTTTCTCTAATATGCCATTTAAACGTTAGCTTTTTGTTAAAGAGGATTCCTAGCTATTGTAGATATAGCCATTTAGTGTTTTCTGATATTGTAATAGATCTAGCTTTTACTGAAGGTGTACGGGTTGGGTCCTGGTCTGCTTTATGTCGGGAGAAGTGAAGGAGCTTGTATTTATCTGGTACAAATATAATGCCCTCTGTAGCGCTCTAATTAAGAGCTTCTTGAAGTGAGTCTGATAAGGCTTTGCAATTAGTAATAAGAGAAGTTGAGATCGCCAGGTTGGCTGCGTCATCCGCGTAACCAAATCTGTTCCTTGGGTTTTCTAGACAGAATAGAGGCGCTATGTAGAGCATGAAAAGAATGCCAGATACTGGGGATCCTTGTGGAAGACCACAGGCAATGTCTGTTGAGGGGCCGATCTCTCTATCGAGTCGGATCTGAACTGATCTTCCAGTAGCGAAGGAGGCAATCCAGAGAACGAGATTGGTAGGCCAGCCCTGCTCGCGTAGTCTGCGGATCAGTCTGCCAGGAAGCACGGAATCAAAGGCGCCTTTGACATCTAGGGTAAGAAGTGAGGCAGTCATGCCTTGATTTAGCGCTTGTTCAACATCATGTATTAGGCATGTGGTCAGGTCAGTTACAGATCTTAGTGGGAGAGCCCCAAATTGTTGCCTTGCTAATACTTTATGGTGTAAAGAGATCCATGCCATATTCTGTGCCACTAAGCGCTCCAGTCCTTTGCCAAGTACTGATAGGAGAGTGATTGGTCTATATAAACTAGGTGAAGACCAATCAGTCTTTTTTGGTTTCTGAATAATTGCTAAGATTGCGTGTCAAAAGCATTTAGGATAATAACTAATCTTTAGGCACCCTTGATATAGCATTAGTACCTTATCTTTGATTAGAGGCCAGGCTACTTTGAGTATGCAGGTTGGGATTTCATCTGCGCCAGGGGCTGTGTTTCCTGCCTGAAGTACTGACTCCTCCACTTGTAGCATCGATATATCTGGGAAGTAGAGACTAGTGGAAGGCACTGCTGGGGAGTCTAGAGGTATGTCTCCTGCCTCTGCCGAGTTCTAGAGAAGATTGCGGACTAGTACGTCTCATTTCTCGTGTACAGTAACTGCTGGGATGCTGTTGGGCCTTAGCGGATCTTTTAGTAGAGGGCTTCGGAAGATGCCTGTAGACTTATACCATTTGCTTATGTCAAAAACATCCTTCATTTGTGTTACCGTAGAGAGCTTATCTTGCCAAAATTGTCGTTAAGACCATCTAGTTATCCTGCGGAAGTCTGTCTTTAAGTAAAGGCCTAAGCGGTAATTGTGTAAAGCTTTCTTGCAGTCTTTGTTCCACCATGGTTATCCTATGCCTTGTGTAATAGTCCTCTTAGTAGAGCCTCTATATACTCCTTGAATTGCAGATGTTAGTTTTTCAGCAAGGGCATCAAGATCTTCTTCTATTGCGGCTGAGCTCTTGGTGCCAGCAAGATTAGAGGCGAGAAGCAAGAGGAAGGAGGTGTGGTCTAGTGTATTAAATCTCAGTTTCTGGGCTGTTTCCTTGTATCTCTGATCCTATGGAACAGTGGTGATTAGTGGTTGATAATCTGAGGTTGCATCTAAGTGGCTCGCTATGCTAGCTTTGGCTCCTGCGAGTGCCAGAGGGCTTGAGGCAAAACTAAGGTCTAACACGTTACCCCTTTCATGTGTGGGACAGTCTATGTCGGAAATGAGTACTAGACCCTGGAGATCCAGCCAGTTGATAAATGGCTCTGTAAAAGTTGTAGGGCTGCGTTGTAGCGAGGGTTACTATCTATTGTATAGTAGGTTGAGATCACCTGCAAGTATTGTTGTTTAAGGGAAATATGCCTCTAGTAGGGTTGTGAGAGCTTTCGCGGCTTTACCTACTCTGCTGCAGCCTGCTGGGGCATTATAGATGTTAACTATCAGAGTGGACTTTCCTATAGGCGAAAAAATCTGAAGGAACAGGAGATCTGAGGCTTCTTTAGTGTTAGTTGTAAAGGGGCATAGCTGGGAGGTCCAGATACCTTTCTTCTTTTAGATATAGGTAAGGACTCATGGTCAGCCACTTATTGCCTAGCTATTAGTTGGGGAGAAGCATTCATATGATGGATGTTTTTTAGTAATCTGTTGGCTAAGGTCTTTGAATGTATATAGTTCTTGGATTAGGATAATATCGATATTGCTAGTGTATGCTAATGTGAGAGCTATTTCATGTACATCTGGCGCGTGCTCTACATTTAATTGTAGGATTTTAAGAGGCGCCTTTTGAGTTAGATAGTGATAGATCATAGCTCCTATTCAAGAAGAGAGGTGAACTAGTTTTATGGTTAAGGGGTTGTAAAATAGACTGCACAAGCTGTAATAGGAGGATCTTTAGTTGGGACGTGAGGTGAGGGGGTTACTAAATGAAAAGGAGAGATAATCTCATATATTGAAGGCTGTGATGGCATCTCATCTAATACCATAGGTGTTTCTTGTGTGCCTATGGAGAGCTGAGAGCTACATCCTCCTTTAGTTCGAGCTTTTGCGAGGTTTATAGCGCAGGATTTGCGGATCTCTGTTTGTTGAGCTTTAGTATGTTTAGTATTGTCTTTGGGGCGCAGAAGGCATTCTATGAAATTAGCTGGATGTAGTCTATGGCAGTGTATGCATCTAGGAGGGCATTGATAAGGCTCTAGGGCTGTGCAGCGGTTGACATGGCCCTCTTCAGTATGCTCTGAGGAGCTGCATAGTTGGCATTGAGAGGGGCGTGCACAGGATCGTGCATTATGCTATTTCCAGCATCATGTGCATTAAATAACTGTTATTTTCTTAGAGAGGTGACGAGCATTAGTGATAGTGCTAAAAAGACATAGCTGGATAGGCAGTGGTGATTTCGTGTCTTCTAGGAAGTTGACAAACCAGCTTGAGGAAAGAGTATCAGGGTTGGTAGCGCTCGTAGTGGTCTTGCTAATAGATATAGGCTTGAGCCCTGTAGTTTCGCTAATTTCTAAGGATAGTAGTGTAGGATTGACAGGGATTAGAGAGTATTGACCATCCAAGATTTAGCCAATTTTCCTTGGCATGTTGGTGACTTGGTACGAGACCCATCAGGAGCTGCGTTCTATCTGGCAGTTAACAAAGAATGCAGAGATCGTCTCTTTTTGGGCCTTAAGGGCTAGGAGGGCTTCTGGAGATGAGGGACATAGTGCAAAGCCAGTCTTTGTAGCTTGGACTTCTTTTAGTGCTGCACTATTTAAGTTTAGCTGAGATTGTAGGCTAGAGTAGATAGCGTAGGCTTCCATTTTTCTGGCTGCATGGTCAGCTGGGAGGCGTACGAAGAGCCGGATGTCAGGAAGGTGTTGTTTCACCAGAGGCATAGGCTTTTTGATGGAGGCTTTAGGGTGAGTGGTGGGAGTTGATTTGACCGGGGCATATTGGGTAATAGTCGCATAAGTTGACTGGTTAAGGCCTGAGGGGGGAGCCCCCAAGAACGAGGGGGACGGGGATAGCTAGCTAGATATACGTATTGGAATCTTTGGGTACTAGTCCGAACGGGGTTAGGCTCTGATAGGAGTTGTACAATTTGGGTGAGGAATAATTGACTCTGATTTGCACGTCTTCTAAAACATAGCTAACTACACATCTTGATCCTCTTTATATACACATCATAGTGGCAAAGTATCACGGATTTACGGGATAAATGACAATCCTGACTCCAAAATGTAGGCTTGAGTTTGGCTCTCATGTTCTCACGGATATGTCGTTATTCCGAGGAATCATGATTAGTAATGACATCCTGATTGGGATTAGCGTATCAAATATCCAACAATACGCGGCACGCACGTGCCGCGTCAGACTAACTATATCCGGTGCCAAAACGTGTAGGGTTTGATATTCACGTTCCGACAACTAAACACGACTTTTTTCGGCTTTTCTGGGCGAGTTGGGAGATCTCTTTTACTAAGAGAAATATCAACTCTGGCTTCAAAAGTACAGGTTTGGTTCCTTTCAATCCGGAGGTGGTTTTAGAGCGTTTTAATAAGAAATCTGAAAGCCGGCCATCCTCAGCTAGTTCTACAGCTTCAATTCTCTCACCTGAAGAGTGGAGTGATATTCGCAAACTTCTTAGAAAGATTGGAGGCAAAAATCCTAGCAAAGGCTTCAAAATGCTAAGCAATACAGTTATGGAGCTTACTACAGAGGTTATACTAATTAGATTGTCATGGGACTGCCCACCATACAGGTAGACGTCGGTACCGCATTGGGCCTAGCGTGATCGTAGCAAGGACATCAACCTCGCACGCCTCGGATCTCAGGTAGTTAGCTGGACTCCTCAATATCACTCTCTCTCTGGCCCATCATCAGATTGCAACTTGCAAGCGCAGAAAGGGCTCTATTAAATGAGAAGAGGCGCCAGATTAAGAAAAAGCTATTATTATTAAGTTTACCTAATGAAAATGAAGGTGGTGCGATATTTTTTGGCCTTTCAAAGATTCAGCAAGCCCGAGAACTACAACAGCAAAAAGAGGATCAAGCCACAGGAAAGAGCCAGGAAAGATGATAAAAAGCTTCAACAAAAGCGAGAAGAACGCGTGCAAGATGCTGCGGGAAAACAACGCCAAAAACTCGAGGAAAAATTAACCAAACAAGCAGATTTGCAGCTTCAAAAAGATATCCTAGCCACGCCAAATCCCCGTACGAGTCGAACGAACCCAAATTCAAGGAAATTGAAGCGCAAACAGAGTAGTGAGGTCGAAGAGGAGGTTATTGATGAGGTTATTGCTACGAATCGTAGGTGGCGGCAGATTCGGCTTCCTGCACGCTATCGCTAGATAAAATTTACACTGTTAGATTTGCTATATCTTATTTACTAATAAACTGCAAACTTAATTATATTTTATTGTTATGTGGTGTTGTAAAGCTTCGAAATATTTTACATGGCATGCCGCGAAAACCGTGCATGAGGTGGTGTCGTGCACGAGGCGGTGAAGCACAGCCGCCCCCATCTTCACCGGGATTTAAGAATTCGTCAACATTCAGCCAAATATCTTTGGGACACCTTGAAGATTGTTCATTCCTTTTCGGTCGACTCCATTTGGATCGCCGCCAGCAATAATCCCTCCGGACGATTTTCTGGTGTATCGTTCCCGTTCATGGTTGTTTGGGTAGCCATAATGAGTAAATTATCCAAGGTGGCCTGACTAAAGATTGACGATTCTGTCCTTTGAGCTCACCTTTCGAAAATCCTGCATTATTGCTTTCGGTAATATCGACGACCTCAGTTACGTTCCCACACCCCAGTTTGATCAGTTTACCCCTTGAACAGTCTCCCGGATGGTTGGCACCCCAAGGAGCACGGGATGTGGAACGTGCCGAAAGCGGAAAATTAGATGTGGAAAAGAATGGCCATCATGTCGAAACTGTATGTCCGCCGGGTGGGACTGTGATGGCTACATAAAGAGATGGAAGTTTGTCGAAGAAGAATCGCGTGTGGCAGCGCAATATAGGGGGAAGAAAAGATATCTTTTGGAAGGAGCTGCTTGGGATGTGACCCCTAGGATCAAGCAGAGCGAGCCAGACTCATCCCGCTATGCTGAAGTAGAAGAGGAGTACTTGGTAGGAGATCAGTCGTTCCAAGTCTCGATATCCCGTCTGCCAGCCTCACAGGCAGAGAATCAGTGTAATATTCTATTACACATCCTCACGGATCCTGATGGTCAACGAGCGTTTCCCATTCGATCGCATGGCGAGTTTTATCAGTTCATCCCAAGCCGACTCGGAAGAAATCCAGCTCTTGACAATGCCGTCTCCTGTCTATGTGCAATCTATGAAGACACGCGCCAGCAATTGTTAGGAAGCCCGCCTAGCACGATCAGGCTCTACAGTAGAAGTCTGAAATCACTGCGGCAATGCGTGCAAGCGGCAGAAACACGCTTGGAACCTGAAACAATCTGCTCTTCACTCATTCTCCAGCTCTGTGAGCTCATGATCAGCTCGGATAACGGACGCTGGAACAACTTGTCAAGTGGCTCAAAACTCTTGATCCAGGAACTTGGCCCTGAATGCTTCGATCAGCCTTTTGAACGAGCCATGTTGGAGTCTCAGCGAGCATTCTTCCTCGTTCAGGACATGAGCCGTCGTCAGAGATGTTTCCTATCCAAGCCACAATGGCGGGAGTTGCCCAAGCAGCGCGGTAATGGCCTTCGAGATCATAAGTTAGCAAGTCTTCGCTGGAGATCTGAGCTTTGCGATCTGTTACTAGATGTACCGGAGCTTTTGTGCGAGTGCGGATTCCTCCTCAATATCCGTCAAGCAGATAATGTGCCTGATTTCGGAGACCAACCTGGATGTCAAGGTCTCTTCGACCGGGTAGTCGAGGCTTACAACTCATTAGAGCAATGGTATGGAGAAGAGCTCGCTCCAGCTCTTCCATTGGCAGATTTAGAAGGCTATAGAGAGTATCCGGAAGTTCTTTCAGCTATCGTCGACTGCGTTTCGGCATCCGTTCTCGTTCAACTACAGAGGTTTGGCTTTGAACTTTTCTCATTGTTCGACATAACAGCGCCAGCAAATGGGCTTCCATTTTCTAACGAAATTTTCATTGAGAGACATACAACTTCCCTTAATGCATTCGAATTTGTTAAGAAGTTTCCAATGGCTGCAAAGCCACTTAAATTCGGACTGGAGCAAATTTTGTCACCCGGAGAAATTTTTCGCTATACGGCCCAGTCATCCATCTATTTGGAAACATCGCCGGTTGCGGAGATCTAACCATAAAGACGCAGCTACTCTACTTATGCCCCAGTTAACAGCCGTGAAAATAATACAGAGTCTATCAATGGATAAGTGCGGCACGCTCGTCAATGCCAGTAGCGCTGAAATGCGACTGCATGTTCTTCCACGTCTTGTTCGCAAACATTTGGCTCCTTCGGAACATCTCCTTCTCAAATGCAGACATAGCCGCCCCGATGTTTTCTTTGTCGTCGTCAACGCAGGATGTGATTGCTCGAGATAAATCCAGTGCATCCACCATGGCGATGTTGACTCCGACACCGGCAAAGGGAGTCATCAAATGTGCAGCGTCACCAATTAGGGTGACACCAGCTTTTGGTTCCCATTTGATATCCACGGGGAGCATGTACATAGGGCGAGGGATGAGGTTGTCATTGCTGTCCAGGATGACTCGCTTCAGATCGTCTGCGCAGTCGGCGAAGTAACCTTCTATGAGCCGTGTCTTCGCTTCCGGCGCGGACCAGTCGATGCCGCAATCATTCAGCCATGTTTCTTGCTGTCGTACCGCAGCATATGTGCGTATGCTGTTGTTGCCGTTTCTTTGGCAGATGATCGCTCGTCCTTCGTCGAACATGAACATGGTACCTTGGCCAACATACTGGGATAGCCACTGATGCTGAATGTCAACATCCATTGCCCAAAGCTCAATAGCCGTAATGCCAGAGTAGAAGGGATTCTTGTCGGTCAGGAATGGCCGAACTTTCGACCATGCGCCATCGGCGCCAACAACGATGTCAAATGCCTCTTCGACGCTGCCATCAAACCGGAGATCAAACTTTCCATCTACTTTCTTCGACTTTTCAACACCCAATAATTTCTTCCCCCACACAATATTCCCTTCCGTCAATGAGCCCAGCAACAACTGCCTCAACCGCAACCGGTCAATTTCCGGTCGATCTTTATGTTCCTCGGTCCTTTCCACTTTCTGCACATTCTCATCAATAACCACCATCCCGTCGTACTTAACTAACTTGGTCGCCTCTCCTTCCGGTCTTGCCAATTTCTTGAACTCCTCCAGTAATCCAGCCTCTTCTATCACCATTTGTCCACCCCGGCGATGCAAATCGACGGTTCCCCCCTGGTCACGGCTGTGTGGGTTGGCGTCGAGATCATAAACGGTGCAAGGGATACCCTTCACTTGGAGAAGGCGAGCAAGAGTCAGTCCAGCCGGTCCGGCGCCGATGATTGCGATGCGGAGGGGTGCCATTGTGGTAATAGATATGAATATAGTTTTGATAGTAAATGAGATAAGAATAATTGAATGCTGAAACATTAATTGATGGCTATGTTCGAAAACTACTCTTCGCTTTCGTAAAGATGACGGACCTATTTATACAAATTCTGGATATTCACTCGGTAACGCATATGGCCTGGTTCAGTGCTTGCAGCGCAAAGATACTATTGTCATGACTGATTATCTCGCACAATAAAACCTCTCCTTAAGGGCTCCCTGCTTATCAGCTTATGTTGACTATGCACAGCCATCGCGAAGAGAGAATGAAGAGACTCTTTTCCCTGGGAGGTCATGTAATTGGCGAGCTCGCATCATGGAACCTCACCTTTGTTGATACCAGAACACCGCATACAGATATCCGCCAATATGTGATTGGCCGCTTCGCGCAATCAACCTTCACATTCTGGTCTTCAGCCCCCCTTTTAAAGTTCGCAATCGCTCCACACATACGGGTATTAGCGTCAGACCTAATCATACAAGGCACTACTCATCCCGTCGCTTCTCCCCAGCCCGAATAGGCAACGGCCACACGGGCTCAAGGGTCAAAATATACGACGTCTAATGTAAAGGCAACAACAAATCACGAACTTCAATCCCAAGAAATAATCCCATATGCTTCCCTTACTTTCGAGTACTTCTATACAGTCTTCCCACTTGTGGAGTTCAGATACACGCTCCTTAACCAAAAAATAAAAGCCGTCCGGACATCTATTTTTGACAGATCTCGAGACTTGGGCTTCAAGATCTCTTATCCGCATACCAAGCGTGTTTTTGGTTCAAAGATATTGACACATTTAATACGTCCAATTGTCCTCTTTTCTTTTCTTTTTGCAAAATTAAGCGCCCTCGGAGGGGATCCGATCATCCGACAGCTATTCAAAGCAATCTAAATCTTACTCTGTTTGTTTCTTTCTATTTTCATCAATGTTTTGCATTCGCTTTTCATGGTCATAGGTTTTAGTGACAGATCAATACGCTCCTGGTTCCTATTCTCATTTATGACACTCGATCATAGCCCACTAGTTTCGTTCGAGTTAGCTTCAATCACCTTTGTCCAGATACTGTTGGTCTCCGACCTTGATGATAATGCTGGCTTCGCTGACAATTAGCAGTCATCGGATTTTCCTGGAGAGACGCTATTGGATATATCTACAGCCATATTTTTCCTTAACATTCTGCATCAGTATACTTGCCACTGATCTGCCAATCTGAGGATGATCCTTGGAGGATGCCATACGTCGACAGATATAGGGAGATGGAAGATTTGATATGGGTTCTAATGAAGATAATTCGCCTGCACATGGTTTGTGATAATACTAATATCATTTAGTTTCCTGTTGAGTATCAAGCACAATGTCCCATATCCTATGAGAGCATACTTGCTTAGGATATGCTTCAGGTCGAGTTACTTTTCTGAAGTTTATATAATGTTTTCAAACTATATATAGCTTCTCTCCTATTTTCCAATATATATTTTTTTAAAAGGCTCTGGGACGACTTGGGTCTTTATATTGTAGCCAAGTTGCCACCAGAATTTTCTGTTGCATTGTATTTGTTTCCATTTATTCAAGTGTCAGCCTGATTTATATATTCCCCAGAGTATTGTATAGCAGATTCATCATTTCACTATGAGCAAAAATAAATTCCTTTTCCTAAAATGACCACCGAAATGTCATAAGAAAGATATTCCTCATGGGGCGGATTACCATACAATGATCTCCAGAAAGTTTTTGACAATCTCAGCTACATAGATACAGAGAGAGCTGTAGCAATAGGCCATGGATACGGAGGCTATATGGTTAATTGAATACAAGGCCATGAGTTGGGTAGACTTTTCAAGGCACTGATAACGGATAATGGCATCTTCAGCATGACAACTCAGTTGGCAAGTGATATACAAGCTTTGCGTTATGACTTCATTGGACTACCGTGGGAAAAATTCATCTGAATGGCGGAAATGGGATCCAGCGCAGTATGTTGGTCATTGGCAAACACCCCATTTGATTATCCACAACGAGCTCAATCTTCAACAGCCAATAGCGCAAGGCTTGGCTTCGTTCCACACTTTACACTAAAGAGGGGTTGAAACTACGTTTCTTACATTCCCAAATGAAAATCACCGCCATTAGCATCCGGAAAACTTGTTGCTGTGGTATCATACAGTGATTGATTGGATGAACAAACATGCCAAGTCTAAGCATAAGTAATCCTCTGACACACTTATCAGATCTAGTGAAGTACAGTTTTGATGAAGAGAATATATTTCTATTGTCTACATTATCTGTTTGCATCTAGGGCGCATCGAGATAGACCATGCTTGGGTAGGCAGCTTTGACTAAGTCGAGCCGAGGAGATCCGGTCCACGTAGTCGTCAGATGTAGACATATATCCAAGTTGACAAGTTGGGTAAATAAGAGCTGTTTCGGACCGCAGCTAAATTGCTTTTGCTGAGAAGTGGTCAGCAAAGATTGTGATCCATGCTCGAGCAAGATAAACAGAGTTCTTCAAGACTGCGGCAAGCTACTTATATACTGATGTATGGCGTCGGGAATGGATGCATAACCCATCGATTTTGAATGCATCGCCTTGGCTACTTCTTTAGGTGCTATTGTTGTGGTATTCAGGTCATAGAGTGGTGATGGCGATGGATCGACTGGAAGACTTCCATTGTGCATGGCTGTCGAGTAATCGCAGAGAAAGGATACCCAAATATCATCGTCATTCAGACTGCATGTTTGTCAGTAAGTCAGCAGGTCGACATCATCACTGTCTGGTGGTGATGAGAATTCTGATCCATCAGCAAGAGCGTCAGCCCCGAATGGGAGGAGGAACCAGCTATTTCGATAATCGACACCAGGCTCACAAAAGCGGTAATTTTCAAACAATGAGTCTGTATCAAAAAACACAATATTCCAGTATCTATTTCCCATCTCATGCTGGGCTTCGAGAACGGCTTCCTGAATGACTTCGTTGAATTTGACCACCAACGAGTTCATCTGCTGTCGAAGCTCTTGCGTCAATTTTCCCCCATACGGATAAAACCAGCTCTCATCACAATTTTTGTCCTTGTCGTAAAAGAACTAAATATAGCCGGTAACAATCAACAAAAACCCCATCTGAGCAGTGGGCGCTCTCTGGCCATAAGAATCAAGAATTATATTGCTGTATACCTCTGCCAAAGCCAAGCGGAAACTGGCGTCGTTGAGTTTGTTGGCCGCATACGCTAATGCGCTGGTGCATTTCCCTTCATCGTACCAGAAGAGACAGTTTAATGCTGCGTCAGCGAAGTGGAGATCGTTACCTCCAATGGATAGTGTTGTACATCCACTTGTCTCATATATTAGTAGTTAAGTTCCTGAATCCAACCCATTTGGCTCCTTCTCCCATTCTCATTACTGTTTTCCATGTCGTTGATGATCGCACCAGAACACGCTGGGAAATAGAGAGTGGCACCCTGCATTTGAGGACCTGCACTTTGAAGCTGAAATGGATATGATTCTTCGCAACGACAACAATCATCGCCTTCTAGACTTTCGTCAAACTCATCTCTGATCCAGCCACAATGTCCCCCAATTCCAGCAGCATAGGAATCGCCGTAAGATATGTAATTATGCGGAGTAGGCCATATTACTGGTCCATTTCGTGAATATGCCGGTAGGTTGGAGTCAATAGAAGGGTCCTGGTCATCTAAAGCGTTGTCACCGGTTCCTGGACAGACATTAAACCACGTATATGCCTTTCAGATATCATTAGTAGAACATGATATTTTCGTCAATTGGAATTGACGGAAGCTTACGACATTCGTTCGTGGAATTACTTGATGATGCATATTGGCCTCAGCAGATCATCAGTGAATCATTCGTCTGTAAGTCTGATAGAAGAGAATACTCACACCCCGATCTGCGCCTTGATAGCGAGCACCCTCTAGTGGGTTCCATTTGAAGGATGATCCATCTATTCGAGTACCATCCGGCATCTGGCCAGCGTTTTCCCATACCTAGTTTCGTGAGTCACTCGGAAAAGCTGGTCGAAAATATGAAAGCTATAAACTCTCTTACCCATGTGTCTCTAGTGAATTTGTCAACCTAAAGAAAATCAATCAAGCCGTCCCCTAGAAGGAAGCAATTAGACATCAACTTTGGGATGTAAGAAAGTGTGCATGAGGAGAATTACCATTCACATCGGCCCATCGATGGTCTTCGCAGATTGTAAGGAGAATCAGCAGAGACATTACTAAACATGCGGGGAAAAAAAGGAAAGGGTTATATACTTGCTCGATCATACTTTTCAGTATGTTTTATCTGTCCGATATCTTGAAATTGGTTTTTGCCCAGATTTAGCGCTCCGGCCGTGCGTCCATCTAATCTGAAGAAAAATGGTGAGGGAGAAGTCAATCTTGTGCGATGTAGATAGTGATATGAATATATACGTACTCCATACATAGATAATCGTCACGATGGTCACCACTACAGAACAAATTAGTAATTTGAAGCAAATTGGAATGAACAAAGTCAGCTAAGTCGCTCACTTGATATCATGAAAACCGAAGCCCTAAATCGTATAGACCTACACCCCAACCTTGGGTGCAACTTATTCCCCGGTGACCACACCACGTTTATTCCAATTCATTGCAGTTGAATTCCACATATTGATCCACACTTCCGCCGCTCCAGAATCTCCATCAACAAGCCAAAGGTCACACTGTAGAACCTTTGTTAGTATCTATGACCTTGCACCGAAATTGCCAAGAAAATATTACTTACCTTGCCATCTCCATTGAAGTCCACCAGATGGAACGCTTTGCGTATCACGCCACCATTGAAGATTTCCAGTCCGACAGGCTCCCAATACGGCGGATTGTGTGAATTCCCGTATAGATAACCAACACCGTCAGGGGAAACCTAGACCTGTTAACACCTATGTCAGCGACGAATGCGTGTGGTATCCCATTTCTTACATAGTCATCTGCTCCAGTTCCTCGCATATCGCAGTGGTAGTCTCCGTCGCCTAATAACAAGAATCAAAAGAGACAAAACTTTATACCCACCCTATCGTCAATCGGTTCCTGCCCAGGATCCAATTAGTCGCCCGCTAGGGTCATTAGGGTTATTACGGTTTGGATTAGCTAAGCTAATCCAGCCAATCAGACAGATGAGATCTATCAGCCAATTAAAGTGAGCCACACACTTCAGAGAAGGATCCACCGAATAGGGGAAAAGATATCTCCCACTTTGACTGTACTTAAAGAGAGAAAGAAGGACAACAGAATCAAGGATTCCATACTTGTGCATACATAATTTGATACGTTGAGATATACCGCTTAAGGTTGTTACGTACAGTCCGACAGATCCCTTGCCCTTGTACATTGACTTTCCACTCGTCTCCGTTCAATGCCAGTTCAACGGTCTCCGTCAGTCTAGAGTCAAACCTTAACCTTAAGGAGTAATGTACTCCATTATTGAGAGCCATGGTGATTGTAAGAAAACAAAATTAACGAAGCCGGCAGGGAGGAAATATTTGTCAGATTGGTCGGTTTATTCCAGGCCAATCCTGAAGAGTGTTTTACTAGGATCAAAGAAAAGAGGTGACTAGCAAGATTGTATCTATTGAGTTCTGTTCCCTGTCTCCATCAGGTTTCAAAGCCGGGTCCTTTATAGACACCTTTGGCGGGGTGATTTGTGAGCTATCAGGAGGGGTAAATATTGGGCTGAAATCTAGGTGCCCAGATATATGCCTAAAGGTGCCTTTTAGACCTGTAAGATTGAACAGTCGATCTTTCTGCCTCGTTTGAAAGCCGGATTATCTGACAGTTATTAGCCCGATAACCTTCAACAGTAGGATACCATTCAATTTCTGAGATGGCTCGCGACGTTGTTTTCTAGCGCCGTAGGCCCGTGTAGTATGTTTAGATTATTAGGTCCTTTGACCGGATGGCCGAGTCGCCGACATTCAGTGAGAGGAGGTGTTGGGCCAGTTGACCGGATGGCCGAATCGCCGAGATCTAGTGACGGTTTCTTTTTGGGGTCTATTATTGCTAAAAGCCTAGAAGTCTCTATAAAGCAGACTTTTTCTTACGTTTTATTCCTGTCTACGTAAAACATCCACCTTCGCAGGTCAACCTCCCTGAAGTCTATAATGGCTATTACTCGGGTTTTTGTCGCCGGTGCTACCGGCACCCAAGGCGGCGCGCTAGCTCGCCATCTTCGAGCAAAGAATATCGAAGTCCATGCTCTCGCTCGTGACATCGCATCTCAAAAAGCTCAAGACCTCGTATCCATAGGCGTAAAGTTCTGGGTTGGCGATTTCAATAATAAAAGCGCCCTTACAATCGCTATCACAGGCTGTGATGCCCTCTTCCTCAACTTCATGCCTGACCTAACAAACCTCAGTGCCGAAGAACAATGGGCTCAAAGCATCCTCGACGCGGGCAAGGAGGCTGGGGCCCAGCATGTTGTTTTCTCGAGTGTTTATGGCGTCGACCAGACGGATAAGATGAGATGGTTTGACGAGAAGGCCGCAGTCGCTGAGATTTACGCGAGCAAGCATAGTATTGAAAAAATAGTCAAAGCTTCTGGATACGCCACTTGGACTGTACTTCGGCCCGGTTATTTCATGGCCAATTGTGTGCAACCTTTTGTGCAATTTATGTTGCCTGGCCTGGCAGAAACAGGGGAGTTGATCACAGCGCTTCGCTCAGATACTGTTCTGCCGTTGACAGATACTAAGACTATTGGACTATTCAGCAGTGCAGCAATAATGCAACCAGAGCGGTTCAACGGCAAGACCATTTCATATTTGGATGAGCTGCTGACGCTTAGCGAATTCATCGAGCGGCTTTCTCAAGCCGTCGGGCGCGAACTCAAAATCACTTATTTATCAGACGATGAGGTGGAAGCGCAGAGGGAGACAAATCCCATTCTGGGTGGACAACTTGTCACCCGCGACATGGCTCAGTTTGCGAATTTAGATCAGGTCAAGTCGTTGGAAGTCCCTTTAGGGACGTTTGAGGAATATTTAAAGCGGGAAAGGGAGGCTGTGAATGCAACTTATAATAAGTCATCATAGTGTACACAATGCTAGATAACCTTACTGTTACCAATAATGATTGATCCTACCGTAAAATACATCGGATTGTGACTGTAATAGGAGATTGTCCAATGATTAGACAGGAGGGATTATCATTATAGCAGAATGTCGTTCGGTGACTGTCTAGGAAACGCTTTCTTACTTTGAAAGCATTAAGTTCCTTTGAAATTCTGTGGAATGATTACTCTACCTATTTGTCACGTATAACACGTAAGAGTAGCACTATTACATTTCATGTATTCAAGTTTGACAGATTGTTTACCTTTTTTATTTACATCATGGCTAGGAATAGATTAGACTAAGTAGCTACGTGACGGACAAATCTAAATATTGTTTAGTGTATAAATTGGGGGAATTGGGCTCTTCCAAGTTCCTAACTGTTGGTATCACAGGGGTGTGCACACAGGTAAAGTGTAGGTTCGAGATTGTTGTTTTTCAGTTGTGTCTCTCTAGTCCCCAAAGGAGCTCAGCTACCTATGTGTAGGTAAACAAAGCCGAGCTAACCAAGCTAGGCTAACTACAGCTGCCACCTCTAACTCACTTCCTTTTATCCCCCTTTTATCTCCTCCCATATTGAATACTTCGGAATATGCTATTCCTGCACTAACCCTCATTCCCAAATATCTATCTCTGAGTATTTCACTTTATATTTCTTCCTGTCCCTTATTTACTGGAGTAGGCATATCAGAAGGTAGAGATTCAGGGGAGGAAGAGCCAGGAGGATCTACTTCACCGCGCCATGGAAGACCGTCAGAAAATATGCCATCATTTAAGGCATTATAATCGCGACGAGGTCTCTTTCGAGTTATGCGAGAAGATGAATCATGAGAACAAGCCATGAGAAGAGGATATAAGCAGAGCTCTCCATCTAATGAGCCTGTGCCTGCACCTGATAAAAATGTACCTTCTAACAAGCTAAGTCTGGTGCCGTCTGAATCAGCTTCATAAGGATTGAAGTCTCCTTAATAGAATTCGGATGATTATTCTCAATTAGCCCAAGAGAGTGATTTTGACGAGACTCCAATAAAAAAACGAAAGAAGAGATCACGTACTAGCTGGACTGTAAACCATTTTGATACTATAGGTCTTAAGACTATATGGTGTCCCAAAGGAGGCCGTCACAGAAATGATAGACTTCTTTTATGTAAATGATGCAATTGATCATCAAGGGACTCTACTCAACAGGGTGCTATAATTAATTTAGCTACACACCTTTACAAAGAACATCATATTAAACAGAATACAATTACACCTCCAACTGGGTCTCTTAATATATTCATAGAACCAGCTAAGTTTGGACTTGATCCCATGCAGGCTCTTCTTCGCTGGGTGATTGAAACACAGCAGCCTTTTACAGTTGTTGAACATCCTACATGGAAAGAACTTCTTAAGAATCTAAATGCCAGCTGCCCTATCAAAACTGCAGAAAAGCTGCTTTCAACAAAAGGTGCTATTGTTAAGATCCGTCTTTTGGTCTTATGGATTAGTCACAGCCCCCAGCGAAGACAGACATGGAAGGATATCTCCCCTTGCAAGGAAATCAATTATGATATTGATACTCGCTGGAATTCAACATACAATATGATCTCTAAAGCTCTTCGACTTTGAAAAGAAGTCACTTAATTTATTTATGAACATCCAGACCTTTGAGACATGCAATCAACAGATAGTGACTAGTCAACACTAAGACAAATTTAGAAGGTCCTGAAACCATTCTAAGACCATACCAACTCTATCTTAAAACATTGCCTAAGCATTACTGAAAGCCTTCTAATATACTAGAGTCTTGATGATATTCTTGATGATATCAAAAATAACGAAGGCAACTTTCAAGAGGTTACTAAGGAGGCTCAGAATGCTATTAAAGAAAGAATCCGGAAAATGGATAAGTTCACTAAGAAGATAGATTCAAATATTATCTATTACGTGGCTGCTATTGTTGATCCACGGGTTAAGACCTCCTTCATCCGAGCTCAAATGAGCAAGTCTGGTACAGATGTGATTATTTCTGATATACATGAATATATTAAGAAGCAATACCCTGCAAGCTCTATCTCTTTCTCTAGCGCTGAGCGTCCACCAGGTATGCCAGAGACATTATGGAGAAAGCTTAGAAAAATCCAGCCTATGCAATCTGCAGATATATTGATTGATTGATTGATTGATTGATTCATACACGCATCTAAGCCTAGTGGCCGGCGGCGCCTTCTAATTGGGCAGCGGGCGTACTACTGTCGGATTAGTCGGTTTATTCCAGGCCAATCCTGAAGAGTGTTTTACTAGGATCAAAGAAAAGAAGTGACTAGCAAGATTGTATCTATTGAGTTCTGTCTCTCTGTCCCCATCAGGCTTCAAAGCCGGGTCCTTTATAGACACCTTTGGCGGGGTGATTTGTGAGCTATCAGGAGGGGTAAATATTGGGCTAAAATCTAGGTGCCCAGATATATGCCTAAAGGTGCTTTTTAGACCTGTAAGATTGAACAGTCAATCTTTCTACCTTGTTTGAAAGCCAGATTATCTAACACACCCTCTCAGCTGCAGAAAGCAACTACTTGCAAAGCTAGAATAGCTTCATAAGTTGTTGGGCACGTCATTGAGAGAAAGTAATTCTTTGATATCTAGGTTCTCTATATCCTTTTGCTGGGGAGTGAGATAGCTGTTGATATCCTCTACTCCAATTTGATTGAGGAACTTTTAATGTTCCTGTTTGCTGAGTGCCTTGGTCAGACTGTTGGCAATCATATCTTTTGTGGGCATGTAGTGCACTTGGATATCTCCCTTCTGCACCTCTTGTTGTATCTAGTAATTATGAATATTGATGTGTCGGAGCTTCATATACAGTCGTAGAGTGTCCTTCTCCAGCAATCCTAGAGTTTGCTGGTTATCGCAGAAAACGTGAAGAGTAGGTGTTCTAAAATGTATCTCTAACTCTAGAAGCAATTAAAGGACATATTTGCCTTCTTTTACCCTCTAAGCGAGAGCTAACAGTTCAGCTTCAGTGGTTGACATTGTTACCATATCCTGCTTATTCACTTACCATCCTATCATTCTACCAAAAAGTGTCATGATGTATGCTTGCGAGCTTTTATGGTTAAGTATATTATCTGCAAAGGAGACATCTATTGATACTAAATAATCTTTACCTCCTCTAAGTCTCAAGGCGTATGCACAATGACATTCAAGGTAGTATAAAACCTTGTCAGCAGCTTGATAGTGCTTTAGTCTAGGATTTAATAAGAACTATAAAAGCCGTGAGACAGCAAAAGCCACGTCAGGTTGAGTGCTTACTGCTACATACATGACTAAGCTAACTTTCCATTAATATTGATGGTTACTTTTGTAGGTGGTCATTCCTTTGTATAGGAGTAATTCTTCTCAAGCCATTGGTGTGTCGTTAGTTTGTCGAGTATCAGCTAACTTTGCAATTTTATCGATATAGATGGCTTGACTGAGCCAGATCACCTTATTGCTTTGATCCCATATAACTCTTATACCTAGGAACCACTCCAGGTCTCCTCCTCTAGATATTTTGTATTTGGCATGAAGTTGGTTCATGACTGAGTCAGCTTCTGGTTGGTGGCTCTTCTTATATGTAATAATGATATTATCTATATAAAAGAATAGTATGATCCTAGATTTTAACATGCAACACGGTTTGTGAGGCACTATTTTGAAACCCAACTCTACGAGCGTGCTGGTAAGTTCCTTTTGCTATAGAAGTGATAATCTACGCAATCTGTAGAGAGCCTTGTTCAGTCGATATATTTTTCCAGACTCACGATATCTAGAAGCCATTCTTATAAAGATCTCTTTGTCCAGTATGGCATTAATGAAGGTATTAACAGTGTTATATTGCTTGAGTTCCAGATTGAAGCGCGCAGCAATAGCTATAAATATCCTAAAAGATCTTGCAGCAAGAGTAGCAGCATATATGTCCCTTATATCATCTCTTTTCTCTTGATCACCTCTTACCACGAGTTGTGCCTTGCACTTGACTAGATAACCTTTCTTGTCCTGCTTATAGATATATACCCACATACAATTAAGAATCTGCTTTCCTTTTGCCTTACTGATAGGCACCATTGTCCAAGAGCTAGATGGATCGTGACTTTTAAGATGATCTCTCTCAGCCTCCTCAAATAACCAACCTAAAGGGTGTTTTTTCACTTCACGGTGACTTTTAGGAGCAGGCGGTAGGTCGCAGACTAGAACTGACTGAAGTCAACGTCCTAACCTTAGATATCGTTGGAGGCTCACATGATCAAATTTGACTGTGTTCATCTCATACTGACGATGTCGTGTGCCTACTAGAAGAGCAAACCTCCAAGGATTAAGCTCTCCTCGTTGCATAGTCAAAGTAGCGGCGACAGTTTTAACAGGAGCCTCTCTGAAGCCTACCCCATTCTTCTCAAGCGACCCTCTGGGTCCGTTCTCAAGGATATGCCTGCCATGAGCCTCTCTGAGACCTACCATGGAGTCACGCAGATTAGGCAACCCTCTGGGCCTGTTCTCAAACTCAGCATGCGATCCTCTGGACCTGACCATGCCTATACTATCAAGAGCCCCTCTGGGACCTTCCTTAGTGGTTGCTTCCTAAATGAGCAATCCTCTAGGCCTGACCTCACTAGTTAACATTCTAGCTGCGTGCTTAGAGCTCTAATGGAGGTTAAGATTATTTTCATGGACAATAGTTATACTAGCTACTAACAGTGCGCTCGGAGGCGTATCTGGAGGTGTAAGATAAGTATATTTATCAATCCTCTCTAACAATCCTTCTCCTGGCGTCAGAGATGGGCCGCTTGGATAGTCCAAATCAAGCTGACTTAAATCTTCAAATCTAGAACCAGTCACTGAGCCTGTTATTGTCGTATGCTCATCATTGTGCCTATTTCTATTAAATACCAAATCCTCCATCTCATCTCCAAAGTTAGTATTATCTTTAACTTCACCTAACTATACTTAGATATCTATCTTGTTCAGCAAGATTGTCAGTTCTTCAACAGACACATGAAGGAGATCATCCTTGATATCTTGGATATCTCCACTGAAGACTTCATTCTTATTAAAAATAATGTCTCTTGCTCGCATGATCCTCCCTATCAAAGGATTCCAAATCCTATAAACATTTGTTGAGTCATATCCAACGAGATAGCCTACCCATGCTCGTAGATTGAAGCGTTAAAGTTAATTTTTCTTAAGTTGATACTCTGATATGAGGGCATATGCTTTACAGCTATATACCTTTAGATAAGTAAGCTAAGATTTCTAATCTTGTATGCAAATTCCATTTTGCAAAGTAATATAAGTATGAAACCTATTGTATAGTGTTTTCCAGTTATACATGAACTTCAGGGTACAGTTATAAAGATAGATTAAGACTTAGTATATTTCTAACTATAAATCCGCAGGTAACTTTGCACTATTTTTTATGGTCCTAGCTTTATCCTTAATGACACCTCCTGAGTGCTTAGCAGCACTATTTTATCCTTAATTATTTGCTATTGAGAGCTTGATAGTAACATGTTTGGTAATCAGCCACTCCTTTACCTCAGGTTGGTGTAAGAATATCTCATTATCTATCTCAATCTTAATTGGACTAACATCATGGTGCTTTTTCAGATATTTAGAGAACTATTTCAGAGTTTCTAAGATCCTCACACTTTTGTGCAACATCATATAAAAGTCCTAGATAAAACCGCTAAATCAATTAGTTATAAGCATTAATGTTTTTTCTCCGTTTATTGAGCTTTTCTAAAAGTCATGAAAATCAATTGCTAGATGCATGCTAGGTCGTTCTACAATATTTCTTTCTTCTCGTTGTATGATTCGTCTAGCTTTTGCCCTTCCACAGGCTTCGCACTATATGGTGGTAGGACCTTTAGATAGGCCAGTCACTCTTATACCTTTTATTATTGTGGCAAGGTGTTCGATAGCTTGGAGTCCAGGATAGCCAAGACAAGCATGCTATCTCTTAGTGTCAGCTTTTTGTTCTTTTCTGACTATCCATAAATTAAAGTGGTACCATTATATCATGAAGACTATTTTTACAAGAGGATAATCATTGGCGATATATTTGAGTACAAATTGACCTTCCTTCTCTTTTATATATGTAAGGACTTAATTTTTCTTATTCTGAAGGCAGTCAAAGCCTCTTCTGGTGTCCCACCAGATTCCATGCTTTCTTAGTTGTTGGAAAGACACCAGGTTTGCCACAAAGTCCTTACAGTATGCCATGTTATAAAAGTGCAGAATTTGAAGTCTTCCACCAAGGCTGTGGATTTTAATATCTACTTCTCCATATCCTAAGACAGGTACTTGGTGGGTGCCTGTCTATAGGAGGTCTCCTGCTATTGCTTTTCAGAAGTTCATAAATCTTTCTATCTCATTGAAAACGTAAATTGATGACCCTAAATCCAATAAAGCTAAATGTTTTAAAGAATATTCGTTAATTGACAGTGCAGCTAAATCCTTTTCCATGTAAATATAGTAGATCGATTTGCAGCTACCTACTACCATCTTAAAAAGTTAATTTGAACTTGCTGTTTCTCCTTGGAAAGTCACCTCATTCTGAGTATTTTGAGTTATAGATTCTCGTCACTCTTGGGATCGACTTCTAGAGTGAGATCATTCTTTCCTTTGAGAAGGAGCTTATCCCTGTTTTTTAGTTAGTATACGTCTTACCTCTTTTGCTAATGGTGTATTGCTGTTAAGCCATCTATTAACTCTTTGTTAAAGCCAAAGTCTTAGTTTAAACTCTTGAGAAGCCTTATAACTAAAAATATAGAAGTAGAAGTCAATAAAGTACATACCTCTGCATGTAGGGTAGATTAGTTTAGATCCACCTCTTTTATCTGGAGCAAATCTGCTGCGCTGTCCTCCTTTAAATAATTATGATTGCAAATGTTATTGACCATGCTCCATAGCTCTCCCTTGCTATAAGCTTTCTTTATTTTCTTCTTTGCTGTCGTCGCTCTTACTTAGATGAGTGGCAAAAGAGCCTTTTATTATATAGGATTGTGGTTTTGTATAGAGTCGTGGGATGAGTCTCTGGAAGCCATTTGACAGATCCTTATAGATAAGAGATTTATTATTAATCTTTGGATCAATTGAGTGCTTAAAAGACGTTACCCACGCCTTATCTAGTGGTCGAATAGCTTCGAGAAACCTAGATGCCTAGTCCTCTGTATCTTGGGCAAAGGACATGGATTTCTTCTTTCCTTAAAGCATGATTTCTTCCCACTTAATCAACCAAGCCTCTAGATCTCGCGGAGTGCCTCTGAAAGGTTTTATATACTAGTTATAGTCATCTCGTATATGTTGCTGGATTTCTTGCAATCCTTGGCCAACTTGCATCTTCAAGTTATTGTACACTTCCTTCTAACTGTGTGTCACATACACATAGATCTTAAAATAGCTGTGGTACACAGTTCACTTTATCCATTTAAAGATTTTATCAATATCTCTACGCTGAACCTCCCACTCACCAAACTCCATTTTGTAGTTATTGAGATGTAGGTTGAAGTCATTTCTTGCCCTCTGCTCAGTGCGATCATCAGTTATATCTTTAGTTGTAGTGGTTTAGGTTGATTGAGCAGAGTTCTAACGCGTTCCTTGAGCTGCACCTACATGGTTTTGTATAGTGTTCTGGGATTCAGGTAGATAGTCTTGTATCTTTGGTTAAACAGATTTCTTGATTAGTCTCTCAGTTCCCTGGAGAATAGGAAGAAGATCATTGGCTCTGGCCCAATTGAGAAGTTCGTTTTGCTAATCGTCCCAATCCTGTGGGGAATTGAGCTTATACTCGGTGGCAACGTTGGATAATATGTTGATATAGAGCCGGTAGGGGTAGTCAGACTCTTAATTGTTGGATTAGTCGGTTTATTCTAGGCCAATCCTGAAGAGTGTTTTACTAGGATCAAAGAAAAGAAGTGACTAGCAAGATTGTATCTATTGAGTTCTGTCTCTCTGTCTCCATCAGGTTTCAAAGCCGGGTCCTTTATAGACACCTTTGGCGGGGTGATTTGTGAGCTATCAGGAGGGGTAAATATTGGGCTGAAATCTAGGTGCCCAGATATATGCCTAAAGGTGCCTTTTAGACCTGTAAGATTGAACAGTCGATCTCTCTGCCTCGTTTGAAAGCCGGATTATCTGACAACTTTTGTACACATTGCGCCGCACTGTACCCCTCCATCCTCGCAATCTGGGAACTCTATTTTTACATTCGAAACTCCTACACAGATCCCCGGCGCTTGCAATTCAGCGGAATCCTGGTCGATCGAATCGCGGAACCAAGACCGCTGGTTTGTGTGATTGACGTCTCGATCCTGGTCCAAGCCGTTCCAGCCCCTCCCGTTGGTTTAATTTAGGTGGTTCAATCATACCCCCAACTAGACTTGATCGATTCGAAAATATAAATACCAACCTGCCCCTGGAAGTGGGAAATATTGAACTTGTGGACGATGATGATCTCACTGCTCGTCACATTCACTATTGGCTGGCTGGGATATCGAACTAAGTCAAAAGGTTTTACACTTCAAGATCCACCCACCATGCTCAAGGAAGTGGACGGCCGGCATATTAGCCCTCAAGATTACTTTCCACGAGAGCCACAGTTTTGGTTATATTATGGGACTGGGCCTGGAGCGATAGTCCAAGGATGGCCCTCACAAGGCGGAATCTATATGCTTGAGGTATCTAGCAGAGTGGAGATAGATTTCCTAGAATTAGACCCATTCAACAACACTCTGCGCCCAACCAATTCTGATCCTGAATGGCGACAGAAAGAGAATAAGCACTGTGATCTTAGTGAGTGATGATAACACCTTTGTTGGAATGGTAAACTTATTTTCAACAGTGCGACGTCTTGGCCCGACATGGTGGGAAAATGAAGACCTATTGGATCAGAGTCAAATCTCAGTTACACCTGATGAAAGGGTCAATGATTATATTCAGGTTGGCTGGACATCTGACGGTGGGGTGTGGGTTTGGAAGACAACGAGAAAGGATACGAGCGAGGGTGGTGGAGCACAGCTGCAAAATGCTCGTACCATGCAGGAACGTTGCATGATGATTGAAAAGCTAGGAGGAACATTTTACGCCGACCCAAAGGATTGCCCCTTTCTTGATCTTCAATGATGACAATTTTTTGACTCTTTCCCAGGCAGTATGCTGCCTCTGATTTCTTCCATGCAACGCGCATCACTAGGTAGTGCTGATTCAGTATTTCAGAGTGAAGGAAATTTCCAGTATCACATTAAGTAATCAAGAAAGCCCTTGAAGGTTCTTTTTCGTTTGGCATGTATATAGATTAGGGTAATTTGTAACACTAACTAGTTAGTATAGCAGCCGTTCCGACCAATATTCCACGGAATAAAGCTGGGGAGGTGGATTTTTGTGCTGCCATTATACCTAGTATAATGACCCTGTGCTGTATAGCACTAGTATCGTCCAACTCATGTAGACTAAAGCGAATAGTCCTCACGCTAGTGCATCACGCATGCAATGTCTACTTGCATGGCATGTAGTCTATAAATCATTGAGTCACGTAGATTGCAAGATGAGCACCGAGTACAGTGTAGCTAAGTGGGTGCGAAGCCAAGGAAGTCTTTTGAGCAAAAGACATCCTAGTTCTGGAATACGCAATAGATGATGCCTAAGCGAAGAGTCTACACCAAGCCCTGGCTGAAAATAGCAACTTCAATTCTGCCGCATACAGAATCTGGGCTGATGGCTTAACTGTGAACTCTGGAAACCCTAGAAACTATTCTTTTTGGCGAAGTCAATACAGCCAAATACCGTGGGGAGTTGTACTTGGTGACCATTCCTGCCGTCAACATGGCACTTTAGTGAAATTTCTAGGTTCTATATAACGTCTACTGGAAGGAAGGTGCTACAACAACCTAGCATTCGCCGTTGATTTATTGTCGGTATAGCAATCTTGCCTATCTCGGCGCGGGAATGGGATATAGTTTATCCGTGCGCTATAGCGTACGGAGGATAACTACATCTCACCACCCGAAACCTCTCCACCTCGGTGGAGCAGTCTATTGAAAGATCGGCTGAGGCAATGCGAGATTCTTTCGATTACTACTGTTTAGAAAGATGCCTAGGGGCTTTCCGAAAGCCAAATTGATCGCAAGAGGGATATTGGATAGGAAAACCACCCGACACGAACCTGTTCTAGGAGAGTGACAGGGCACCCTCGAGTTCAGCCAGCTCTGAGATTGAGATAGAACCCCCAACGTTATGAAATTACCAATGAAGCTATCTCAACGAGGGCTGGAACGAAGCCTAAGTGCTCTTAGAAAGTAATAGAAGTTGTTAAGGCTGACAGAAAAGTGGTTGCCGGATGTGTTAAGGGTAAGGCCTACTCTGAGACCGAACTACTTATCATTCTGGACAGACACAGCGCACCGCTTTCTAAGTATAAAGGCATAGGGTGGGAACTGAGCTAGGTTAGTAGGAGTCAACTATACAAGTATTATGCCAGGCGGGTATTACAAGTATTGACTTCTGCAAGACATGGTCGGCTGCTAGAGGGAGACTTCTAATAGTAACGGGAAACTACTTTATTATAGTAATAAAGTAGCGGGCCATAGCACTATGAGGATGACCAGAGGGTAACTAGGAAGAACGTGTTCCTAGCTCGTACCTAGGCCATGGCTATCTAACTGGTATCTTTGCTTCCAACTCGTACTTGGGCCACAGCAGCGTGGTATCGCCGGCACCTATACTGATATTTTATTGGTATCTGTGTTTTCAACTCGTACTTGGACCGCTACTGTGTGGTATCGCCGGCATTTATATCTATTAGATTGGCAATGTGGTATCGCCGATATATTCTTTCTAGGAGGCCTACGGAGATCTTATAGTGGCTCGAGAGGACGGATGCGCATGTCGGTCGGCTTAGAGAAGGAGTGCATTGTGCCTGACTCGTACTCAGGTCCCTGGGATATATATCCTAGCGCGGTATCGCCCATAATGCAATTGCCTTTGCGGCTGGCTTAAGGTGCAAACTCCAGAGATGTTGATAGCAGCAGATCTTTTGGCCTGGGGATCTGCCAATAGGAATGGGTAAAATCACCACCGAAGCGAGAAGGCAAGGTGGAAGATGGTATTGGTATCGACCGGACTTGTTAAGGCTTTGCCACAGGCGACCGCGAGCCGCCCAACTCCTATTGTCTCTGGCGCCTCTTGGGCAAAAGAACAGAGCAAAATCCCTACACAGCGGAGCTGGAAGCAATTGCAACCTCCCTGGAACGTATCCGACGGCAGACATATCAGAGATGCATAATCATCCACAGTAGCAATAGATCGGCACTGTCTGCAATTAGCCAACCCCGTCAACAATCAGGCCAAAAATCGATCCAGCGGATATATAAACAGGTTCAAAACCTACAGCAACAAGGAAATGCGGTGGTCACAATTTGGATTCCAACATGCTCAGACATGACCGTGAAACGGCAAGCAAAAACAGAGGCACAGAAAGCAACAAGAATTGAATCGCTACCAGAAAAACAGCCATATCAAGCAAAATCAACAGCTATCAGGCTTGCTCTTGCGGAAAGGCAACATGAATGGACTCTCCCAGAACACGTTGGAAGATACTCCAGAACGGTGGATATAGCTCTTCCAGGAAAACACACAAGAAGCTTATATGATAGACTAAATCGGAAAGAGGCAAAGATCCTAGCCCAACTTCGGACCGGAATGACAAGGCTCAACAGCTATCTTAATCGGATAGGTGCAGCAGAGTCAAATCTCTGTGCCTGTGGCCAAGCAAGCGAGACAATAGAGCACTTCTTATTCCGCTGCACGCAATGGACAGCGATGAGAGAAGACATGAATCAGTGCACAGAATCAAGACAAGGAAATCTATCCTTCTTCCTGGGCAGTAAATCACGTTCAGACCCAGATCGATGGCAACCAGATATGAAGGCCGTCCATGCAGCAATCAAGTTCGCAATCGCTACAGGAAGATTGGAACCTGAACCTGAATCCGAACCTCAATCAACGCAGTGAAAAGTGAAGCTATTCCCCTACCTCCCACCCCTTTCCCTCCCTAACTCTTCCTCCCTTCCAGGGTAGATCTCGCTGCAGCCGCCGAAGATAGGACACTGCACACTTGGAGAAGATAACCTTTAAGATCATCTACTAGCCAACACCTTTAACAAGGGAGCCCCTAACAAACCAACCAAAGAAGCCAAACACCAAGCACATACATGTTAAGAAAACAACTTATGGGCTATCGCGAGTTCATGCCGGATCTGTGGGAAATGACTATGTAATTAGCGCACTAGTGCCCTTTAGGTTAGCACCTCCGGGCGTAATAAAACATCCATCCTACATCTCACCACCCGCATCCCCCTAGTTCTTGTCAGATAATCCGGCTTTCAAACGAGGCAGAAAGATCGACTGTTCAATCTTACAGGTCTAAAAGGCACCTTTAGGCATATATCTGGGCACCTAGATTTCAGCCCAATATTTACCCCTCCTGATAGCTCACAAATCACCCCGCCAAAGGTGTCTATAAAGGACCCGGCTTTAAAGACTTGAAAGACAGGCACAGAACTCAATACATACAATCTTGCTAGTTACTTCTTTTCTTTGATCCTAGTAAAACACTCTTCAGGATTGGCCTGGAATAAACCGACCAATCCGACAGATCTATACCACCCACTCCGAAGACGCGTAGAACAGATAGCCAGAGATGGCCGACAAACCAGTCGATTTGCTCGCCGAGTGCTGGCGCTCCCCAACTCTGAATAAATAAACCCTCTACAACATGCTCCCTAGTACCCTTGTGAGTCACGTAAGAGTGCCCTAGCCCGAATAGGAGCTCCCATGGGACGCACTAAGGAATAGGTAGCGGCTGATTTCACGGCTTTTCAACGTACCATCCCTAGCTCAGATATTGTAATCTTCTCAGATGGATCTAGGCTAATAGATGGACGTGCAGGAGGTGGCTATATTGGATTTCAAGCACATCATCAGTTCCTCCGCTCCTCACTCTCATACGGACATGGGAAAGAGGTCTTTAACACAGAAGCAGAAGCTGCCCTAGCTGGTGCTCAAGCATCAATAGCATACCCAACAGCTCAATTTGCTACCAACCTATGGATCTGTCTTGACAACCTAGAAGTTGCCACACGCCTCCTATCCCCCTCTACAGGATCCTCTCAAGAGGTCTTTGAATCCTTTCGCACCCTTGCAGCCGCCTGGCCACTACGCGAAAGGCTTCCACACACCAAAAGTGGATCAATCCAAATCCGATGGGTCCCTGGACACACTAAAATCCCTGAGAATGAAGCAGCTGATCTCACTGCTAAGGAAGGAGCTATCTCTATCCCCCCCTCTCTATACAAGTCCTCATATGCCTCGCTAAAGAGATACGCCAAGACTCAATCTCTTTCCGCTGCTCAGACACGGTGGCAGACTGTAGCACCATAGACATACCAAGATCTAGAAATAACTACATCTCCTAAATGCCCTGGAGAGCTTCAACTCAACCGACTTGACCTTGGCCATATCATAGCAGCCCATACTGGTCATGGAGACTTTGCGGATTACCACGAGCACTTTAATCATGATGACGCTTATCTTCTCTGTTGGTGTAGAGCATGAAAAGCACCTTTACATTTCTTCTTCTACTATATAGCTAAGAGATGAGCCCCTCGTCCACCTGGACCCTCTTCTGAAGTTATCTCTTTCCTTTTAGGTACTGCGAAAGGAACACGAAAACTAGCCTCATGACTAGCAGAGACCCGTTTCTTTAAGGATATCTATCCTCGCCAACCTCTCCTTAGCACCTAGCTAAGTCAGCCCTACTTTGCCCTTATATCTCTCTTTTCCTTTGCTCTTTTTTTCTTTCTTTCTTTTCTTCTTTCCTTCTTCCCTTTTTCTTTTCAAACTCACTGCTTAAGTATGATGGTGGTAGAATAATGAGTCATGGAGCATAGGTGGACCATTGCAGCTGGCAAATACCTAAAACCCACTAGGAAGTGGATCTCCCTTTAAGACCATGGCAGCTATGGAAATGCGCCAAAGAGTCTCTTATTTATATATAAATCTGATAGGACCTAAAGCCCGAGGCTTACCCCTCGGCGGCCTATGTCCCAGTAGGGATCGGTGGGAGGCGTGCAAGTCACGAACCACGGCCGTTAAATATACACACACACACACACACACACACCCCTTACTCTTGGGGGGCAGTCATCAATATCAGGAATTCTATACCATATTGATCAGGCTCGTCAGCTCGTCGGAATAGCTGTTCTACGTGACTAGTGCTAGCGACCTAGACGTAGATAAACCGACACTTAACATCTATTTCACGCAACAACACTTCCACATGCGCAGTTTGCATATGATTATTCGAGTAGGAAACAAGCGCCGTGGCTTGAAATATGCTGTGTGATAGCTTTAATTTAATCATTTTAGCCTATATATTACTAGGCCATGTAATGCGTTTAGATTTGGGCCTAGTCTAAGTTAGTGTTGTGTTATATTCGTTGACAATAGAGCTCCGAAACGAATATGAATAATATTCATATTCATGAATATTTGCGAATATGAATAATATGAATATGAATTAAATGAATATGAATATGACCCGTATTCATATTCACTAAATTCATGAATATATGAATATTCATGAATATCCACAAAAGATGAGGGAGGCAGCTGAATCTTGAACTCGCTCCTAAGATCAATTTTGAGTAGTTACTTACAGAAAAACTATATACAAACAGCAAGCTTACTAAAATTCGATGAAAACCCCGTTTCCTAAATCCTAAACATTTTTATGCCGAGTCCCGGCATTCTTTACCATATTGTCCCTTAAGGAACATCAGCCATCTAAACGTCTTAGAATTTAAGCAGTGTCTCCGAATACCCAGAACATCTCGTGCGTTACTAAATAATCTCTCAATGCCTACTTCAGCAGATAGAATAGGAAGATAGTCTTGTACAGCTTTCGACATTAGAGGGTAGTTAAAGGCATTTGCTTTCCACTATTTCAATATCCAGTTAGGATTCTCATCTTCTATCATACCATGAGACTACATCTCAGGGCTTGAATCTAGGTACCAATCAATGTCTGATATTATGTCTGCAGATTGCAGAGGCTGGATTTTTTTGAGCTTTTTCTATAATGTCCCTGGCATATCTGGTGGACGCTCTGCGCTAGAGGAAGAGGTAGGGCTTGCAGGATATTGTTTCTTAAGATATTCATATATATTAGAAACAATCATATCTGCATCAGACTTGCTCATTTGAGCTCGGATGAAGGAGGTCTTAACCCGTGGATCAAGAATGGCAGCCACGTAATAGATAATATTAGAATCCATCTTCTTTGTGACGGTCAGTAATGAGGTTATTCGCAGAGTTCGGTTTACGTAGTCACATGCTAGGGTTATGTAGGGGGGTTCGTGATTCTGTCACGTGATCACGACAATACATCTTGTTTGCAGATAGCCTCACATTCCTAGCTTTTTCTTTCTTTCTCCATGTTTGGTATTCTTGTACTTAGCTTCCAATATAACTATTGAATGAGCCCTTACATTATACCAAACATCCTCTTTATTCATTAATACCTTGACAGCTGTACAGCAACATTGTTATCATCAATAACACCGCCTTAAGCAATAAGGTCCCTTTATCCTAATTCTCAAGATTTCGAAAACCGAACAGAACCGAACCGACAGAACAGAACTCGCGATGCCTCGTGTCAGCCAGCTGCCTAAAGAGGTACTCGCTAACTTACGAGAGGACTGTCTCCTTTCGTACATGGAAGAATTCGACAAGGCAGATCCAGAAGTCATTTTCGAGAAAACTTACACAGAAGAAGAATTCGTCAAAGAGGCAGAGGAGAATCCTTACTATCTCTTTGCCAAGGTCCTCCGTCGACAACAGCACTTGCTCCAACTGTATGAGGAAGCTGCTGCCGCTCACAATGAGATAGTTGAGAATCTTGATGCTCCAGGTAGAGTGGATACCAATCAGAATCAGAATCAGAAAGAAGAACTTACCCAACTTAAGAAAGAACTGAAAGAGGCTCGTCGCGAGGCCAAGCGAAATGCCAATGATATTGTTGAACTGCAAGGAGAACGTGACCAGTACATACAAGCTTTTGCCAAGTTATACCTCTAAACTAGTGGTCAGAGTGGTAGCGAGGGAGGTACACCAAGACCAACCTTCATACTAAAATCTACCAAGTTACCCAAGGAAGCAAAGCTCTCAGACAGTGTCAATCTAACCTTTAAATCTTGGTTAATTGATATGGAAGGGACCCTAGAGAGCAACGCGGATCACTACCCAAATGCAAAGGATCGAATTCTTTTTGTGAAGAAAATATATGAGAGTCAGGCAGCCAAGCATTTGATGCCCTGTCTTCGCAAGAACTCTCCTCATCCCTTCATAGATGCTGACGACATGTTTGACCACTTGAAGACCATTTTTGAAGATGTTAATTGAGTTACCAATGCAAAAGCTAGATACCGTGCTCTCCAGATGACGAGCAAGATGAAATTCCAGGATTTCCTAACTGAATTCACTCATGAAGCTCAAGAATCCAAGACCGACATTCAATCTTGGAAGGAAGACCTTTACAGCAAGCTGAGCTTTGAGCTGCAGCGTAAGTTGACTGATGAAGCAGATGACCCGGACCTTGACTAGACTGGTTTTGTGAGAAAAGTTACAAAGACAGCAAATCGCCTTGAAGCAATTTCTACTGTTGAGAGCAAAGTACGCTGTCGCAGTATGAATATGAATTCAAGTGCTAGTTCCAACGCCAGTAAATCTATTCGCTTAACCCCTGCTCCCTCTGCTGCTGGTAGCAGTTTGTCGAACAAGGATGGTAAGAAAGGTGAATGGGTGGATGACGCAGCTTATGCTCTACTTATAAAAGAGGGCAAATGCTTCAAATGTCGCCAAACTGGTCACATTGGTCGAGATTGTCTTAATAATGATAAGCTAGCTGTAAAGAAGAGTTCGGACCTCAAGAAGCTGGAAAAGGTAGATGAAGCGAGCTCAGCTAACTCTAATTCGGAATCGGAAAACGAGTAAGCCTAGGGAAAGTCTCTTTCTTGGGCTCAATAGAAGTCAGCATGTGTGATATAGATCTCAGTCAATTGATTGGACGTGAAAAGGATAGTTTCATAATACCAATTCAAATAGCGAAGAATACACATTTAATTACTGCATGGGCACTTGCTAATACTGGAGCGAATGGACTAGCATTTATAGATACCAATTTCGCCATATTGTTGAGTAGATTCCTTAAGATGAGGACTCATTGGTTAGAAAACAAATGTGCTGTAAGAGGATACGATGGCAAGACTATGACCCTAATTACTCATGCTATTATATTCACGCTCATTGTGGATGGACGTCGCCAGCTAGACATGCCATTCCTCATTATTGATTTAGGCAAGCATGATGTGATCCTAGGGAGGATGTGGTTTGCAAAGTACAACATTCTTGTGGACTATGCAAAGAAGTGACTATTATGGCCAGAGGAAGTCTCTTTGAAGGATGAGATTATTACCAAGGGATACGTGCAATTGCCTTGGCAGATTCTAAAGCAACAGAATAAAATCAATCCTGATCATTAAAAAGATGCCGACCAATGAGACCAGGCTTTTGAGAAGCAACAGCTAAGACCTGTTCCCATGGAATATGGCCGATCGTACAAGAAGAGCTATGAGGCTACACTCCTAAGAATGAACTGATTTATCAAGGAATCAATGAAGGATCAGGAGGATCTGCCTCTATTTCCAATTCGAAGAAATCCTGAAGCTTGTAAGTTAGTAGAACTTAACATCGCCATGATTAGGGGAAACGGTTTCCATCGCTTAGTGCAGCAGAAGAAGAGTCAAATCTTCTTTACTAGCTTGTATGAGATCGATAAGATCGTTGAGGATAAAAAGATCCCAGAGGAAAAACTAGAAGAAGAGGAAATCAGGAAAAAGCTACCAGCTTACCTAAAAGACTTTGTGGATGTCTTCTCCAAGCATGAATCGGATAAGTTGCCTCCGCACCGGCCTTATGATTATAAAATCGAGTTGGAAAAGCCGAACGAGTTGAGTTATAACCCTCTCTATAAGATATCGAGAGATGAACTGGAAGCAGCGCGAGAGTATATTATCGACAACCTGAATAAAGGATTCCTTGAGCCTAGTAGCTCACCATTTGCAGCACCAATTATCATGGCATCGAAGCCGGGAGGAGGATTGCGTTTCTGTGTTGACTACCGCAAGCTCAACCAATTGACTAAAAAGGACTAGTATCCTTTACCACTAATCAATGAGGTTTTTGAGCGTCTGAGTCGAGCACGCATCTTCACGAAGCTTGACATTAGACAAGGTTTCCATAGGATTTGTATGGATCCAGACTCTGAGAAATACACTACTTTTCAGTATCGATATAGTACCTACAAGTATAAGGTTATGCCCTTCGGATTGACCAATGGTCCTGCGACTTTCCAGCAATTCATGAATGACGTCTTTATGGATTGCCTTGATAGATTTCTGATTGCTTTCGTGGACGATCTGCTCATCTATAGTGAGAACATAGTAGAGCATCAGATTTATGTGAAAATAGTGTTGGAATGACTCCGAGCCGCTGGATTACAAGTAGCAATTCACAAGTGCGAATTCAGTGTGGAACGAACAAAGTTCCTAGGTTTCATTGTAACTAAGGATAGCATTGAGGTTAATCAGGAAAAGATCAAGGCCATCACTGAGTGGAAGGCTCCCACCACTATTTTTGGCATTCAGTCTTTCTTAGGATTCTGTGGTTTTTATTGGAAGTTCATACGAGGGTATAGTTGAATAGCAAAGCCATTGAATTACCTAACATGGCAGGATGTGCCATTTAAATGGACAACTGAGTGTCAAGAAGCTTTTAACAAACTAAAAAGATGCCTTGTCAGTGCACCTATGTTATGTCACTATCAGCCCAAGTTGCCTTCTCAATTGGAAACTGATGCTTCAGATGGAGTTGTCGCTGCAGTGTTCTCTCAATTATAAGAGGATGGTCACTGGCACCCAGTTGCATACTTCTCAAAGACAATGACCAACGCAGAATTCAATTATGATATTTATGATAAGGAGCTCCTAGCAATTGTGTTAGCCCTAAAAGAATGGAGGGCTGAGCTGGTGGGCTTGTAGAGAGGCGAACAATTCGAGATTCTTTCTGATTATATGGCTCTGCGGTACTTTATGACGACGAAGCGCCTTACCGCTAGACAAGCTAGGTGGTGCGAATTGGTAAATTAATATCATTTTGTTATTAAGTACCGTCCAGGAAAGAAGAACACGCTGGCGGATGCATTAACTTGGAGGGAAAGCACTTCAGTTGACTGTAAGAAGAGATGTATGCAGCTCATGTTGCCAAAGAAGTGCCTAGGGCCTTCGCCAGTAAAAGATTTGTTAAGTGTGGTCGAAGAGGAAGAAGACAGGGAAGATAATAATGAGCCTCCTAATCAGGGGAGTGTTGAGCTATCACCAATGGACACTACCATAGATGTTATTTCTAGAGTCATCGCCGCGAACACAAGGAGCCCTGAATGTAAGTAATTCCGAGAGCTCGCGAGAATGGGAGACGAGAACTGGACATTGCACGAAGACGTCTTGTTATTCAAAGATCAGGTGTTTGTTCCGGATGAGGGGGATCTTCGAGCTCGGTTACTAGATAAAATCCATTGTCAACCATCGACAGCTCACCCAGGCAAGAATAAGATAAAGCAATTAGTTCAAGCACGTTACTATTGGATTACCTGGAACAAAGATGTGGAGCGATATGTCGACAACTGTATGACATGCAAGCGCACAAACATAAGGAGAGACTTACCGCCAGGACTATTGAATCCATTGCCAATCCCTAGCAGACCGTGGCAGCATATCTCTATAGATTTTATGATCTATCCTCCTGACAAGATAGGCTGCGACACGGTGTTCGTGGTGGTTAATCAGTTTGGCAAGACTCTAATATCTATACCATGCAGTAAGAATGTTGATGCAAGAGAGTTGGCTAGACTCTAGATAAAGTACATGTATGCTCGTACAGGATTACCGGACTCTATTGTGTCGGATTGTGGTCCCCAGTTCATATTGGAATTCTAGAACGAGGCATGCTATATATTAGGAATCAAGATTTCATTATCTACAGTGGATCATGCTCAGACCGATGGGCAGACGGAGATCGCAAATCAGTATTTGTCCCAACGCCTGAGACTATATGTTAACCACTTTCAAGATGATTGGTCGGAGTGGTTACCAATTATCAATTTTGCGGCTGCTTCATTGCCTCAAGATTCCACAGGGTTGTCACCATTTATGATTGAAAAGGGGTTTCAACCAAGGATGTCATTCGACTGGAGAAAACCAGATTTACCAAGGAAGTTCACTGCCAACGAGAAGAATGCGCGCGTGTGGGTGAAGCGATTTCAAGAGATTTGGGACTTTGCTCGTGGTAATCTAGAGATAGCGTAATAGTGTCAAAAGAAGCAAGCTGACAAGCACCGACGAGAGGTTGACTTTGACGTGGGAGATGAAGTTATGGTATCGATAAAAGAATAGAGAATGGATTGTCCAAGTCGGAAGCTCGCAGACCAAGCTGCAGGTCCCTACAAGATAATTGAAAAAGTCAGCCAGGCCTATCAATTAAAGCTAGACGAAGGAATGTAAATTCACGACGTCTTTGCATTAGAAAAATTGTAGCGTGTGTCATTGACTGAGCCATTGAGGGGTTAGATTTTGGAAAGAGCGAAGCCAGTGGAGATTAATGGTTAGCAGGAGTGGGAGGTAGAGAAAATCCTTAATTTGAAGATGAGATAGAATAAGCTTCATTATCAGGTGAAGTGGCTAGGCTATGATCCCAATCCAAGGTGGTATTTGGCGGCGAATTTTAAGAACGCACCACGTCAATTGAAGTCATTCCACGATCGATATCTAGAGAAGCCAGGACCCCCGGTGAACTTGCAATGATGGATTGAGGTAGTAGAGAGGGACAAATTTGTTAACAATGACAGAAACAATAACACAATAGAGGAGTTGGAACCAAGCGCTTGAGGGCAAGCGTCTTACAGAGGGGGGAGTAATGTGACGGTCAGTAATGAGGTTATTCGCAGAGTTCGGTTTACGTAGTCACATGCTAGGGTTATGTAGGGGGGTTCGTGATTCTGTCACGTGATCACGACAATACATCTTGTTTGCAGATAGCCTCACATTCCTAGCTTTTTCTTTCTTTCTCCATGTTTGGTATTCTTGTACTTAGCTTCCAATATGACTATTGAATGAGCCCTTACATTCTTGGTGAATTTATCTATTTTCCGGATTCCTCCTTCAACAGCATTTTGAACCTCCTTAGTAATCTCTTAAAAGTTGCCTTCGTTATTTTTGATATTGTCAAGAATATCATCAAGACTCTAGTATATTGGAAGGCTTTCAGTGATGCTTGGGCAATATTTCAAGACAGAGTTGGTATGGTCCCAGAATGGCTTCAGGACCTTCTAAATTTATCTTAGTGTTGACCAGTCACTATCTGTTGGTTGCATTTCTCGAATGTCTAGATATTCACGAATAAATTGAGTGACTTCTTTTCGAAGTCGAAGAGCTTCAGAGATCATATTATATGTTGAATTCCAGCGAGTGTCGATATCATAATTGATTTGCTTGCAGGGAGAGATATCCTTCTATGCCTGCCTTCGCTGGGGGCTGTTACTAATCTATAAGGCCAAAAGATGGATCTTAACAATAGTACCTTTTGTTAAAATTAGTGTTTTAGGTGAATGATCCTTCTGTAATGGCATCTTATCAAGTATAACATGTGCATCACGGACTGTACTGGTCTTTAAGGATACTAGAATATCCTTATAGATAAGATTCAGTATATATGCAAGACATCCAATAAAGCTATTCCAACCCTGGAACCGCATAAGTGGTTTCATGTGGAATAGACTATCTTTTTTATTAAAATCTTTTAACAGGTCTGCATAAAGATAATCGCAGAGTGTTAGGTTGTTTCTAGCATTATCTCTAGTGATTGTTAGAAGCTTATGTTTAATTTGAAACGCTTCAAGTACACTTTTGACAATTGTAGACAGATTTTCGCTAGAGTGCAATCCATTAATCTCTTTAAACTTAAGAAGATCTTCTCAAAGCTTAAACTCTGGAGTGAGCCAATGGCCAATAACAGCAAGAAATGATATCTAGTTATCTGACGTCCAGATGTCAAGTGAAAGTGAAATCGATTGGCAGGTATTAGCTAAGTCCTGCTTTAACCAGTTCCTTCAACTTGAATATTCACTCTGAACTCGATTTTGAAGAGTATCTGCAGTTTTAATAGGACAGTTAGCATTTAGACTCTTAAGGAGTTCTTTCCATGTAGGATGTTCAACAACTGTAAAAGGCTGCTGTGTTTCAATCACCCAGCGAAGAAGAGCCTGCATGGGATCAAGTCCAGACTTAGCTGGTTCTATGAATATATCAAGAGGCCCAGCTGGAGGTGTAATTGTGTTCTATTTAATATGGTGTTCTTTATAAAGGTGTGTAGCTAAATTGGTTATAGCACCCTGTTAAGTAGAGTCCTTTGATGACTAATTGCATTACTTACACAAAAGAAGTCTATCATTTCTGTGACGGCCTCCTTTAGGACACCATGTAGTCTCAAGGCCTATAGCATCAAAATAGTCAGCAGTCCAGCTAGTATGTAATCTCTTTCTTTTTTTTATTGGAGTCTCATCGAACTCACTCTCTTAGTCCAATTGAGAAGAATTGTCTGAATTCTGTTGAGGAGACTTCAATCCTTGTGAAGCTGATTCAGATGGTACCAAACTCAGTTCATTGGAAGATATGTTTTGGTGAGGTGCAGGCACAGGCTCATTAGATAGAGTAGACATATCAGAAGGTAGAGATTTAGGGGAGGAAGAGTCAAGAGTATCTGCTTCATCGCGCCATAGAAAAGCGTCAGAAACTATGCTATTATTTAAGGCATTATAATCGCGACGAGGTCTCTTTCGAGTTATTCGAGGAGATGAATCATGAGAAAAAGCTATGAGAAGAGGGTATAAACAAAGCTCTGTAATAAATAAGGAACAAGAAGGAATATCAAGTAAAATACTCGGAGACAGATATTTGGAAAAGAGAATTAGGAATCTGGAAGAGCCTAATTCCCCCAATTTATATACTAAACAATATTTAGCTTTGTCCATCACGTAGCTACTTAGTCTAATCTATTCCTAGCTATGATGTAAACAAAAAAGGTAAACATTATGTTAAAGTTGAATACATGAAATGTAGTAGTGCTAGTCATACGTGTTATACGTGATAAATGGGTGGAGGAATCATTCTAGAGAATTTCAAGTAGACTTGCCGCTTGCAAAGTAAGAAAGCGTTTCCTAGAATGCTCTATCTAAACTACACACCATGATTATATAGGCCATGCACTGAATTAATAATTGAACTTGAGAACTTCATATATATATCTTCTCCTTGAGCCAAGATTCTCGTTATTTTAAGAAAAGGACCTCATACTACTAGTACTATATCCATACTTAAGAGTGATTAGTACTCTTATGGCTAATATAAGATAAACTGAAGAAGCTCGCATCAAATTTGCTGATTCTGTGGCGGTTAATATGTATCTATGTAGGGCACGGCTGTTTGCCGGCGCGGAAAAATAGTCCACCCGGAAATATTTATGAATATGAATATGAATATGAATATGGTCCATATTCATATGAATAATATTCATTTTAATCATATTCATAAGTCATGAATATGAATATGGTCAATAATCATATTCATTTATTCATTTCGGAGCTCTAGTTGACAATGTTCTAATCCTTTTTGTAACGATATCGGAGGAGTAGCACGGTTAATTTTCCAGCCGTAATCAAAAAACTATCAAAGAGATAAAGATCGATACTCTAGGGAGTAATGGGAAAAGTAATACTAAGGATACTGGCCCTATGTATACAAAATAATGATGTGATTATATCGTGTTCATCTAAGGTAACCTTATAGAGTGTGTCAGTGAGCTAGCTTGGGATGGCTTCCAATCAGAATTAAGTGATTCCTATACTTTATCTACATCGCTATTAGAGCAAGCGGTAATTAGTAGCTCAGCTATTATAGTGGTTAGATTGTACATGAAAGTCAATATTCGATTATTTTTAGCGGGCCGAGATAACTGACGTTGATATGGACTGATTTTTTATCATGAACTTATGCATGTAACTAGATTGAGGCGCTGCATGGACACGGACCATATAGATACTAACGCCAAGACTCGTTTCTCTCGGCTCGGCGGATTTTCACGACCTTGGCGTTGGCGCTAACATATGTGGCACAGCACGAGTCCTACAGATTAGGAATTTAGTCAAACGCTTCGCTGAGTACGCAAGAAAACTGTGATCTATATAATGTTTGCCATATCATTTGAGCTGCGTATATGCTCTTGTGGTGCCCCGGAAGTTTCTATACAGAAGCAATTCTGTATAGAAATATATCTTGTGCTTGAAGCAGGAAAACTGACTCTGTTGTGTGTATCTCCCTAGGAACCTAGGTTCCTAGGAGCGGAGATATCTAGCTACCAGCGCGCTAACTACATCCGGTAGGCGGTGCTGACTATCTAAGGGCAGAATCCCAACACACCCCCCCCAGCAAACCGCCCATGAAAGAACTATCATACATGAAGCCATATAAAAGCATATAAACAGGGCACTGAGTGTGGAAACATGGTGTTGAGAACTGAGTCGTAAAAACCTACACAAAAAAAAAAATTTTTTTTTTTTTTTTTTTTTATTCCTCGTCGACTTTGATGTCGATTGGCTCCAGTCCCAGCTGCTTTAGAAATTCTGCAAACTTGACTGGATTTTTGGGTTTTGTAAAACCGTCCGCGACATTATCGTCAGTGTCAACGCGTTCGACAACTACTTCACCTTTTTCGAGGATATCCCTTACAAAGTGGTAACGATTGGCTAGCCATCTCACGGCCGGTGCGGAGCGCTTTTTAAGTGCGTCCATAGCGTTGTTGGAATCCATGTAGAGGGTAATTTTGTCGTCTTCTTTCATTAAGCCAAATGCCACGAGGATCCTTTTTGCATAAAGGGCGTGTTTCATGCCGTCGCCGAAGCACATGTATTCTGCAGCTGTAGAAGATGGTGCAACACAAGTTTGTTTTGCCGTATCCCAAGCGATAGGGCACCCAGCCCAAAAAAGGCACCATCCTTGAGAGGATTTGCCATCTGGATGATCAGCGAATGAAGAATCAGTAAAAAGTTGCAAACCTCGCTTCGGATCTTTATTGAGAGTTAGGCCTAGATTGCTGTGGGCGCGTAGATAGCGTAAAACGCCTTTTGTACGCTCCATGTCATCTTTAATTGGCTCTTTTTGCTTCCATTGTAAGAAGCGCACTGCAAAGCAGATATCGGGTCTTGTTTTGAATTCCAGCCAATTGAGGGATCCGACTATTTTCTGGTAAATCTCGAGAAATCCGGGGTCAGGTGACTCGCCGGTAAACGTCAATTTGGAGCCTGGTTCAATAGGTGCCTTACGGCCGCTGCAGCGGTCCATATCGAAGCGGTTGAGTATCTCCTTGACATACGGTTCCTGAAACATCGAGATAACCTGGCTGGTAGGATTGTAGTGTAGATTGCATCCCAAAAACTTCTTCGGATGACCAATTCGCTTTACTCCATATTCCGCATCTAGTTCATTGAGAAGCCAGTGAATTGCATCGATGTCCTTTGCAGCAATAAGGGTGTCGTCAACATATAAAAGGATGTAGATTCCTCTACTCTTGTTAAAATAGATGCATGGGTCTTCAGCCAATGGGAGGAAGCCTAGGTCACGTAATTTGCTATCAATAGTACCATGCTAAAGGTTGGCTGATTCGCGTAAACCATACATGGCTTTGTTGAGTAGGCATACCAAATCACGTCCTTCTTCATGACCTGTAGGTTGCCTAACAAGTATCCTTTGGCGACCAAGTAACGCGTGTAGGTACGCTCCGATGATGTCGGCTTAGTAGAGGAATAGCTAGTGGTGCGCACTAAAGGAGAGGAATATTTTTGTACTTATATCTCCTATCACTGGAGACCATGTCGCTTGACCAGACTTTTCTTGGAAATTTCCACAAACCACCCATCGTGCGCGATACTCTGTGACTACACCATCTGGTGTGGATTTTGTGTCATAAACCTATTTACCTGGTAGTATCCGTATACCATCTTTTGGCATCTCAACTAGATTCCAGGTCTTATTGTCCTTAAGCTTCTTTACCTGCTCTGTTTTGGCGGCAAACCAGAGATCAGCCTCGGTGGCCTTGAGTGCTTGCGTGTGATTGGTGGGTATCTGGACTTCCCACTTGCGCTTCGTTGGGCCTGTGGCTGCAACGGCTATCAACGCGTTAGGGTTTGTAGACTCATTAGGATCATCATTGACCTTAGTTTCTATGGCGAACTTGACCTTTTTCTGTGCACGGTGGAGTCGTTCTTGCTCGGCTTGAGTCGTCTGTTCCTCTTCAAATGATGCTGTAGAGCGCTGACCTTTGGTCGAGCGGCTGGAACGCCTTGGCTCTAGTCTCTGCGGCTCGGCTAGCTGCGTGGCTGCAGTCTCCTGTAGGAGCTGCATTTGATCTGGTGAGAGGTCTTTGTCGTTGTTTTCTGGTGGTGAATCGTGGATTTGTATATCCTGAATATCACTCGTGGGTTTGTGGTCAGACTCCACTGACTCAATTGGTGTATCTAAGGCTAGGTTTTCTGGAGATGGGGATAACGTCACTAGGCGGCGTTGTGCGTACTGATTTTCATGATAATTGAATGTAGTCTCTTGATCCTGGCCTAGGATAGTGAATATATCCTCATGAGATGGTTCACCTGTCAATAATAGGCGTTCGGAGCGATTGCTTGACGTATTCGCATCAAAAACTTTTATTGATATGGGTTTGCCCCAACCTGCCTTAGGCATAGATTGCACGTCGTTGACAATATCTAGGGTGCCATCCTCATCGCCTTCCCAGAAGGTGACGTCGCGTGTGACTACTGTCTTGCCTGTATCCGGATACCAGATTCTATACACGTGGCCGTGATCTCCAACGTAGCCAACTAATCGACCAATCAGGGCCTTGGGCTTCACCTTTTCAGCTTTAACGCGATTCTCAATGGGAATATATACGTAAGCTTTGCATCCCCATACACGGAGATGTTCGAGGTATGGTGTTGGGTTTGGGAGTGAAAGGCCTCTTCGCCAAATTTGTATCGGCGCTTCTTTTCTATCTACCAAAGGTAGCCTTGAGTGAATGTAGATGGCGGTGTCGATCGCAAAGGGCCATAGATTAGGCGGCAATCCTGCATCAATGATCATGACTCGGCTGATTTGCACAATAAAGAACTGTAGGCGTTCGATTGCCCCATTTGGCTCCTTTGTACGCGGTGGAGAGTGCCTCAACAAGATTCCCAAGTTCTTGGCCCAGTTGTTGAAGGCATTGAACTCTCTCCCAAGATCTTTAGCAATAAGAACTGGCCAATAGCCTGCTGAGTTGTGGAATTCCTTGCAGTAATCAATAAGAGCTTTGGAGGCGCCATCTTTATTGATATGGAATCTTGCTTCTGGCATCCGCAAATAATCGTCAAGGATGAAAGTAGCGTAGTTTGAGCCGTCATGGGCTGTAGGTTTGATATGTTGTACGTCGACATAAATAATACCTCCAACTTTCGTGGCTTTGGGCATATTGGCGCGAGAGATAATCTGTCTAGCCTTGCCTAATCGGCATGCTTCACAAAACTCATGTTGATCATCGCTTGGTTCAACAATTCCTAACTTCTCTGCCAATTTTGTGCGTTTGTGGCCTAGGTGTGCAAGTCGCCTATGTTGCAAGATAGGCGAGACAGCTGCAAGGTTTGTGTGAGCTGTAATAAGCTCATCTCGTACATCAACTGTGTAGACGATAGGCACTTGAAAAATGGTATGTGTATGACCGACAATAGAGTCATCTGTCATCCTTCGAATAGTGCAATCTTTTGAACAATACTAAATCCCATGATCTTTCTTGGATGGCTCTGTGGCCCACAGGTTGAAGCTCAATCCTGGGACATGTTGCACTTTCAAGGCGATATCTGTGTAGGTGTCATTGCCACTATCAAGCCTCATGAGGGCGATTCCTTCACCTTGTGCGGTACCGATGGTGCCATTGGAACATGTAAAGGTAGGTTTGACATCACCAGGGCCGTACTCACGATATTTCAAGAATGTAGCGTTGTCACCTGCAATATTGTTGGCTGCGCCTGAATCGGCTACCCAACTACCCTCAATGCTTCTAGGTTGCATGTAAAGTGAGAGCGTTGTGGTACTATCACGTGTAACTTAGTAGTGTGCGAAGTCGTCAACAACTTTAGGCACTGTAGCGAGTACGCTTGCAGATAAGTCGTGATTTACCTGATCGTTGTAAGGCTGCGGGTCATCCTTTAAATGGCTTAGGTATGATTCGATGCATGTAGTCGTTGTGCTCGGAGCAATCCAGGGTCCGCGTCTGGTAGTGGATTCGCTGGTATCGACGACAGGGATCTGAGCAGTACTGAATGCAGAGTTATAGAGGCTAGTCGAAGCCAGTGGCACAGGGGTAGGTTTCTGATCAGTCGAATCTTTGCTCTTCTTCAAACCACTTCGGGCTTTCTTGGCCTTGGAGTAATTCCATAAATTATTGCGCCTAGGATTCCACGATTCAGGGGGTTCATCCATTAGGTAGTAACAATTGGTGGCATCGTGTGTAGGCGATGAACAATAACCACATTTGCCTTGTTTGGAAGGTAAGGCACGTAAGCTTATGACATGCTTGTCAATGTCCGTACCTGGGGCTGGTTCATGCCTCATTTTATTGCTGCCATTGTTCCTATTTCCATTTCCCTTGTTGTTTTGTGGCACGTTGCTTGCATTGCTCTGCGGGAGTCGGAGGGTCGTATTCGAATGGTATTCTTGATAGCGCTTCGCGGCAACTATGGCCTTGGACACAAGATGCTGAAAATCTTCTGGTTGTATATCGCATAGAGGTGGGATGTCTTTCTCGTAAGTGGTAACCCATGAGCCTAATTCGGAATGTAAGCCATCCATTATAAGAACTGTTGGTAAATATGCTCCCATCTCTAGATTTGTGGATAGGAGGTTGAAGTAAGCGTTGCGAATCCCAATAATGAAGGCTTCAGGTGTTGTGAATTTGTCTCGGTGCAAAGCAAGGATATGAGCTGTTTGACTCCATCCAATGTTTTCATTGGTGTCTCCCTTGCAAAGCTTCTTGACGGCAAAAGCGTATTCATCGGCGTAACGTATTGTTCCATTAATCATTCTGATCTCTTGGTTTAGATCGTTCGAAACCTGATTCTTCATCCAGGTGCAGATGGTCGCTGATAGCTGATGCCATATGTCAAAATGAGCACTATCCTCATCTGGACGTGCTAAATCTCTGTTGAGAATGTTGAGTAAGGCTTTACCCTTGCTAAAAAGGTCTCCCTCGATATTTTCAATCCAAACATCATAGAGGTCTTTTCTAGAAAGCCTCTCGATTGAAGCAAAGTCCAATTTGGTATTTGCAAACTTTGTAAGACCGCTATATTGTGTCTTTACAAGACTCGAAGTTGCAGTTGTGGACGATAAGTGTGAAATTGTTGAGGTTGTAGGAGTGCCTTGTTGGCCTTGTTGGCTCTGTCCCTCGTTGCCGGTCATCTTTGCCGGGTATTCAGGGGTAAGAAGGTATTCAAATTCCAGCGGATTGACACACAAAAATACGCGTGGGAATAGCCTCAAAAGTAGTAAAAATGAGTGCAGTAAAGAGAGGAAAATCTATTCGAATAAAACACGAATTTTCAGGTGCTCATAACCTCTTGTGCTTGAAGCAGGAAAACTGACTCTGTTGTGTGTATCTCCCTAGGAACCTAGGTTCCTAGGAGCGGAGATATCTAGCTACCAGCGCGCTAACTACATCCGGTAGGCGGTGCTGACTATCTAAGGGCAGAATCCCAACAATATATAATCTCGTTTCTCGTGTACAGTAACTACTGGGAGGCTGTTAGGCCTTAGCGGATCTTTCAGTGGAGGGCTTCGGAAGATACCTGTAGACTTATGCTATTTACTCATGTTAAAAACATCCTTCATTTGTGATACTGTGGAGGGCTTGTCTTGCTAAAATTATTATTAAGACTATCTAGTAGTCTGGTGGAAATCTGTCTTTGAGCAGAGGCCTGAGCAGTAATTGTGTAAAGCTTTCTTGCAGTTTTCATTCCACCATGGTTGTCCTATGCCTTATGTCAGGGTTCTCTTGGCAGAGCCTCTATATGCTCCTTGGATTACAGATGTTAGTTTTTTGTCGAGAGCATCGAGGTCTTCTTCTATCATAGTTAGGCTCTTAATACTAGCAAGGTTAGAGGCGAGAAGCAAGAGGAAGCAGGTGTGGTCTAGTGTGTCAAATCTCAGTTTCTGAGCTGTTTCCTTGTATCTCTGATCCCATGGTACAGTGGTGATTAGTGGTTGATGATCTGAGGTTACATCTAAGTGGCTCGCTATGCTAGTTTTAGCTCCCGCGAGTGCCAGAGGGCTTGAGGCAAAGCTGAGGTCTAACACGTTACCCCTTTCATGTGTGGGACAGTCTATATTAGAGATGAGAACTAGACCCTGGAGGTCCAGTCAGTTGGTAAATGGCTCTGCAAGAGGTGTGGGGCTATGATATAGCAAGGGCTGCCGTCTGTTGTATAGTAGGTTAGGGTTACCTGCAAGTATTATTGCTTGAGGGAGATACATCTCTGGCAGGATTATGAGAGCTTTTGCGGCTTCACCTGCTCTGATGGAGCCTGCTGGGGCATTATAGATATTGACTATCAAAGCAGACTTTCCTGTGAGTGAGAAAATCTGAAGGAACAGGAGATCTGAGGCCTCTTTAGTGTTAGTTGTGAAGGGGCGCAGCTGGGAGGTCTGAATGCCTTTCTTCTTTTAGACATAGATAAGGACTCGTGGTCGGCCGCTTATTACTTAACTGTTAGTTGGGGAGAAGCATTCATATGATGGGTGTTTTTTTGTGATCTGTCGGCTAAGATCTTTGAATGTATATAGTTCTTGGATTAGGATAATATTAATGTCACTAGTGTATGCCAATGTGAGAGCTATTTCATGTACATCTAGCGCGTGCCCTACATTTAACTGTAGGATTTTGAGAGGCACCTTTTGAGTTGGATGGTGATAGATCATAGCTCCTGTTCAAGAAGAGAGGTGAACTGGTTTTATGGTTGAGAGGTTGTAAAACGGACTGCACGAGCTTTTATTGGAGGATCTTCAGTTGAGGCGCGAGGTGGGGGGGTTACTGGACGGAAGGGAGAGATAATCTCCTGGGTTAGAGGCTGAGATGGCATCTCCTCTAATGCCATAGGTGTTTCTTGTGTGCCCGTGGAGAGCTGAGAGCTGCATCCTCCTTCAGTTCGAGCTTTTACGAGGTTTAAGGCATAGGATTTTCGGATCTCTACTTGTTGAGTGTGACGGCTGGGCATGGCTCTGCGTTCCCGTCTCAGTTCACGGATAGGGCTAGGAGCCGTGTAACCCTATCCGCGCCGTATTGGGAAGTGATATCAACATCAGACGTCGGAACTGGATAGGGAAAGGCGCCCTGCACAGAGATTTACATGAGAAGCGAGAACCAGACCTTTTACTTCATTTCTTCCTTTTTCCCCTTTATGCTTAATATTACCTGTCGACAAGCACCTCTTGTACGAGATAGTTAGCTAGAATAGCGTACTCAAACCAAGCAGATTGGCACCGTCACAGTGTCCACACTTCAGCTTGCGCTGATAGCACTGTATACAGGCCAATGGTGGACGCCGTCTTTTGGCTCCTGGCTTGACCACGTGCTGTGAGCTTGTTGGCACAGAGTTCATCGTGTACCTCGGATTAGATTCTGACATTATCGAAAGATTAAAATGAGATATTGCCGAGCTGCAAGTTTTCATGCTTGCGGCTTCCGGTTTCGTTGATTCGGCAATTTCGGCCAATCCACTCGGGGTACATTTTCCAGAGAAGTATATCACGCAGTTTGATTTCTTGGGTGCGGCTTATTCTATCTGGGGAAAATTGAATGCTTCATTGATGCCCGCAATGTGAAAAGTCCGGGGGTTGCAAGCCGTGGGCGTTTAGACAGTTATATAACCTACCTGTAATTCCCCGTCATCTAGATGAGCAATCATCGGGTTCTATGTCATAAAGCCAGGAAAGGAGTAAAATCTCATCAATTTATTCAAAATGCATGCATCCGAACTCCACCCTCTGACAATTTCTGTTCTCTCTTCGTTCGGATCCGAAAGCTCCCCTAGGGCTCGAGAAATACTTGCAGGCTTGGTACGATATCTTCACGCATTCTGCCGAGATGTGAACCTCACTACTGAAGAACTTCACATTGCTATTGAAGTCTTGAACCGATCTGGCCAAATGAGTAATCCTGAACGCAATGAGACGTTACTGATAGCAGACTGCCTGGGTGTAGAGGCGTATGTCAGACCCAGAATCTACTTTCAATTGATCTAACTTTAAGAGTAGGTTTGTTGATGCTCAGACACAAAAAGCACTAGAGAAAGACAATGGCAAAACTACCAATTCTTGTGTTCTCGGCCCATTCTATACGGCCGATCCTCCACGCTACCTGAACGGTGACAGCATTATCCAGAAATACCTAGGCGGCGAAGTGACTTTCTTCCATGGTCGAATTTTGGATGCAGATACCAATTTGCCCATTGCAGGTACATTTTTTTATTTCACCTATATTTCATTTAACAAGTAGCTGATGGTCACCAGGAGCCTCCTTGAATGTATGGCAATGCGCGGTCAATGGCTTATATGACCAACAAGACCCCAGCCAACCATCAGGAAACATGCGTGGCATGTTCACGTCCGATGGCGACGGCAACTACGCCTTCTACTGTATAAAGCCAATTCCTTATCCTGTGCCCTACGACGGGCCGGCCGGTGATATTCTCAAGCTTATGGACCGTCACCCCTATCGGGCGGCTCACATTCATTTTATGGTAACGAGCGATTCTCATCATCGTTTGAACACGCAAGTGTTCCCCGAGGATGATTCTTATCTCGACTCTGACTCCGTGTATGCCGTGAAATCGGATTTGCTCCTTCAATTCAAGCCTTATAGATCCGATTTGCCTCAAGGTAAAGGGAGTGAGGGAACCTATGTGAAATGGGAAGTCAACTGGGACTTCAAGATTAAGAGGCAAAATTCTTGATCCAAGAATATTTTAGACTTGTTAGTGGCAAGTTGGACGTTTTCGTAATAGCAGCGAATGTCTTTTTTACCCATCACCCTGAGATTGTTCGGTAGTGTCTCCAAGATAGTCTAAAATTACATCCCTGTATCTTTTCAGATTTGGTCAAGAGGTTACAGAACTAGCCTTTATTTTCCTTGATGATTTTACCTAGGCACCAATCGCTCATGTGTTTATTTGATTAATCATATCAGTCAACCTGCATTTCATGATTCAATCACGTTGGATTTCACCCTATATGCACTTTCTTAGCTTACTCCAACACATACCTAGGCATGCTTTGTCGAATACAGTTAACCAGTATTTTCAGTCATGTTTTGACAATAGTATAATTCAAATTGACTATGTTGATGCCACATACTGGAAATGAAATATTCTCCCTGAGGTTAGGCTCACGTCAGATCTTCGTACTTAACAGCGAATAGTATGCAGAGTAAGCAATGGAATTTCATCTCCCGAATGCAACGAGGGCAAACGCATAGTTCGGGAAACCGGGCTTCTCTTTACTCAAGATACTGTTTTCACGTTAGGGCAATACTTGGGCACCTACGTAGTACATCTCAGTCAATCAGAAGCCACCTTATCAGAGCTCAAAATTATCCTCTCATTTACCCCTCATGACAGCTCACAAATCACGCCGCCAAAAGGTCTATAAAAACCCTTCTTGGAAACTCATGTATACAGAGGACACGAGACAACAAAAGACATACAAATCTTGCTAGTCACTTCCTTTCTTTTCATCCCAGTAAAAACCTCTTCAGGATTGGCCTGGAATAACCCTACCAATCCGACAATTAGCCCTACGACAAGCCCTACCTAACCCTAACCGGAAGATGTCTTCTGACCTAGGTACTGCTAAGGTTCCTACAGTACAAGCGTATGCATAGACATTTTGCTTCGCTTTTTGTGATAGAGTCCTCAGCAGCTTATGACCATTACCCGAAGATCGTCTGATACCAAATGCACCACCTCAATTTACAAGCGAGATATGTTCCTCACCAGGTTAATGGTATCGTCAAATTCTTTGCCTAGGTAAATTATTAATGTGGTATTCAATTGAAGTCATGTAATATTCGAGAGAATTATGTTTGAGTATCAACCTATACCTACAGCAACCACTACATGAATAGCAATCAATCAAAATTATTTAGCAAACAATGCCTCTCGGTCCATGCCGTCGAGTAACTTCCCATCCGCGAACCAATCATCCATTGCCTTGGCCATACCCTCGATGTACGCTCGGGGAGAGTCGTCAGACATCGCTTTGACAAGTAAATCTTGCGACATCTCATTCGTGACATCAGCTCGTCCACTGGCTACAACCGTAGACTCGTAGTTACGCACTGCAAAATCCAAGTCTTCGGGATGTGCACGTAATTCGTGAAATAGATCCAAGGCATCTAGCATTGCCAAGTTTGCACCCTCTCCGGCAAACCACGACATAACATGCAAAGAGTCACCAATGAGGGTCAAACCTGGGCGGTGGTCGTAACGTAGGCCTAGCGGCATGCGATACTGGGCGCGTGGAGTCATGCTTGAGTCAACATTGCGAATGACATCCTGAAGGCGAGGGTCCCAGGTTGAGAAGAAGGAGTTAATCAGAAGTTCCGTCATCTTTTTTTGATCATTCCAGTCAAAAGATGGGTCGCTTGTTGCCCAGGTCTCTTCAACTCGCAAGCAAGGGTAGACGCGCAAGCTGCCATCTCCATTTCGTTGCATGAAGATACCGCTGCCTTCAGAAAGGCAAAAATAGGTTCCTCGGCCGACGAATTGTCCGATCTCTGGAAATCTCTTATTCAGGTCTGAGATACGGCAGTCAATGACTGTAAGACCAGTGTACTCGGGCTTCCAAGTCGTGAGAAGTGGTCGAACCCTGGACCAAGTTCCGTCAGCGCCGACAAGAAGGTCAGTCACTACTGGCTCTGGTTGACTATCAAACACAATTTTCACGCGGCCGTCATCCATCGGAACTACAGCTGAAACGCAGTGATCCCATTTGATATGCATAGGATCAAGAGACTCTATTAGAATCTTGCGAAGCATTGCACGGTCGATTTCTGGACGTCCATCTGCCTCAGGAGTTGCCTGGTGATTCAGCCACGTCACAGCGTGTTTGTCTCCAAAACGGTAGTCCTGGTCAAAGTAGCGGGCGTACTTGTTGAATTGTTGCTGTAACCCAGCTTCAAATAAAGCTCGTTGACCAGAGTCTGGATGAAGGTCTAGAGATCCTCCCTGAAAGCGAGAGCTAGTTGATTTCTCTCGCTCGTAGATGGTGAAGGGAATAGAGTGATGTTGTAGGAGAGCTGCAAGTGTAAGGCCAGAGGGCCCTGCTCCAACAATGGCGATATTCTTAGGCATGATATGAGGAATTGAAGGGGGTCTTGAAAATGAAAGATTGCGAAGTCAAGTTTGCGTCCAAGAAGAAAAGTTATTGCATGGAGGCCAGTAGATGCAATGGGTCTTATAGCCTTTAAATGAGCTACTACCTACCTCAGGAAGCCCATGATCTCTCTTGCTTAATTTTTTTTTTTTTTTTTTTTTGTTGGATATACACATCCAAGAAAAGACTTGCTAGTCTGGGACCCCTACCGACCCCTGTCAAAAGGAAGTGGAGAGAATCTGGGGCAATATCCGAATCCTCCAGCTTTGTCGGCCTCGGTCTTTTGTCTCGGTTTACGGTTGCGGTGTACTCATAAAGGCGAAAAGGCCGAGGTTAGATATGAAAGTCATATGGTCATTCCTTCGTGCGGTTTAAGAAGCCTCTGGGACGGACATATATGGTGAGTCATTTGCTAGTTCATTTATCAACTGATAATCATCATAATGGAGAATCAAAAGGCTCATGTTGTGATTGTGCCGGCATCGTTTGCCCCATCATTGCTATACTCAAAATTTGTACAACACCTCTGCAAATATGATCTTGATGTGACCATTGTCGACCTCCCGTCTGTGGGATTTCGTGATCCGCTCCCTCCTGCATCAATGACGGAGGATGCCGAGCATATCAAGTCCATAACGACAAAACTTGCAGATGAAGGTCATGACATAATCCTAATAATGCACTCCTACGGCGGAGTTTGTGGCACAGAAAGCACCCAACGGGGTCTCCAAGGCCGAGAGACATGCTGTTCAGAAACCAGGAGGCATTGTTCAACTCGTTTACATCAGCTCTCCGGTTCCTGAAGTCGGCGGCTCCATTATGACCATCATGGAGGGGAATATTCCTCCTTTCATGAAAGTAGAAGTAAGTCAGATCAACATGATGCCCGGAATATCACTAAAAAACGGTTTTCACAGGGGGGTTACCTGATTTCTGACACTGACGGCTGCGCCAACGTCAATTTCTCGGATCTCCCATATACCAACGCGATACAACATGCAAGACACATGAAGGCACATTCAGCAGAGAGCTTTTCAAGTCCACTTCATCATGCAGGCTATTTGCGTATTCCGGTCACGTACATCATATGTGAACACGATATTTCTGTACCCCCTGATTTTCAGAGGTCTGTCGTTGATATGATTACCACCAAGGCCAGTAGGGAAGTGACTACACTCGTTTGCAATTCTGGACATTTTCCCAACGTGAGTTTTCCGGCTGAGCTCGCAAATCTCATAAATAGTGTTGTTATTCGAGGTTCAGGAGAATCCTTACAGGGGGTTCGATATACGATATAGCGAAATAAAGTCAAATCCCGTATTGCCCTTTAAATACTTTACTCCTCAATTTGAAATGATTGCTTTAGGTTTTGCAGGCTCAGTAGATTTCTTTCCTGCACCATTGATATGTTTGTGAGAATTGGAATCGGATTCATTTATTGTATACATCATCCAAGTCGATTGTTAGTTAAGGGAAAAGATTCGTGTCTGCAGTGAAGAAAATAAACTTTTTACGGTAACGAATGGAATTACTCAAAAATGTTAGAAGTATTGAACTTATATCCCTGTTTGTACAAGGGGCGGATATTTGAAATCAGTTCGCCAGTCCGAGTAAGCCGAAGATATATACTGGACAGACCGAATAAGCCGAGTTGCAAAATACCGACAGAACCGTGGAAAGAATAAGCAACTACGTACACTATTGAACTTGAGGGTCTCGTATGCCTTTTTAAACCAAAACGAAATCCAATATAATAAGAAATATCGGTCTCGAATAGCGTAATTCCGCCTGGAAAAAATATGGACGCCATGAGGGATACAGACCTTATCGTGTTAAAAAGCCTCTCAGGTAAGACTACCATAATCACAGGAGGTGCAAACGGCATAGGAGCAGAGACTGTACGCTTTCTGAACGCGCAAGGAGCAAACATTGTGATCGCTGATCTGGAACGTACTCGTCCTAGTGCTGAAACATTGATACAATCATTACAATATCCTCAATGTGCTCTCTTCGTGGGTATGAACATTCTCGTTTGGAGAGAAATAAAGGCACTATTCGCTGAATGTACCAAGCACTTTGGAAAAGTTGATATCGTTGTTGCCAATGCTGGGATCATGGAGAGTGTGCCGCTTTTTGATATCGGTGATGTGGATGAAGAGGGAGAATTACGCGAGTCTGCAGAAGGATTTCGTGTAATCGATGTCAATATTAAAGGAACGATTAACAGTATGTTCTACTGCTGCTCCATAACCCTTTGTATGTGGCCTGAATTTAACTTGATGCGTCCTTGATCAAAGCTTTACGACTCGCGCTTCACTTCATAGCTCGTAACCAACCGGCATCTGCGAATGGATCAAAGGGAACTGTAGTTCTCGTCACATCAACCTCAGGCTACTTTGGTTCAACTGGGGTGGGAGCATATATCGTATCCAAGCATGGAATCACTGGTCTTCTCCGAGCGTCGCAGCAAGTTGGTCGAGAACTAGGAGTCAGAATCAATGGTGTTGCTCCTTTTTTCACGGCCACAACGACTTTCCAAGCTTTGGCCGACCAATGGAAGAAATCAGGACTCAAATCAAACACGTTAGAGAATGTTGCAACCACTATCGCACTAACATGTGTGCGAGAAGAGACTGGAAAATGTTATATGGTATAATTATCCCCAACTTCTTCCTAATCTTACTACATGCTAAAATTCTTAGCTAGGTAGCTGGAGGAAAATGGATAGAAGTGGAAGACAGTAGGCAGTCACTTATTCCACAATGGCTCGGTCAAGAAACTGCCCAGCTGTTAGAGAGCGCTGGCAAACTCTTTTAAAGCGACGGTTATCCCTTACCTAGGAAGCATTATTGAACTACGCAAATATTGGGCGCTAGAGACCCTGGTTAGTCCAAACAGAATGGGGCTCGAGATTCTCGTAAAAAATCCGTCGTCATGATTAGATTATAATAGTTATTGAGCACATGGCTCTCTCATTCCCAGCTGTGCTGGCATAAACTGGATCTGCTAATTTCCATATCACATAATTTCATAAAATGAAAATAAACTTAGGGTCACGATCGTCGTTGTGCCCAGAAAGTTTGTCGTACTTCCCATTAGCCTTGTCCTTGTTGACTTTCCGGCAGTACAAGACGTTGAACAAGATCCTATATACAGTTAGTTATCGATTATCGCAAATCAAGATCAGTTCATAAGTAGAGAAAGATACAAAAACCAAGCAGCAACCAAGAAGCCCAGAATAACTATATGTCCTACATCCTAGCGTTAATTCTTTTCCACCCAGGATACGCGGTAGCCACCTGTGGTTATAGGTAGTAAGGCCTGACTCCTGGATTTGTGTTATCTCATTGCGAGGAACCGAATCCACGTGGAGGAGATAGACTCTGCAGCGTCGCCTGTGACAAACTGAGCCTGTACTAGAAGCCTCTCTCCTCTCAGAGTGAGACCTAGAGAGTTTGTATTTGGAATAATTCGTCAAAACATCAACATTCCCTAATACTGCCATATCGCGAGACCACGCTGTTGACGCATTCGAAAGTTAATAATACCAAGCCGACGAAAAGAGACACCCTGTTAGTTTGTTAAAATCAACAAGCACTAATATCTTAAGAAAACTAAATAGGGATTCTACACCTATAATAGGTGCAAATATAATACTGGTTATGATACCAAGTCACACCTAGGTCAAGATATTAATAATATCTACTCGATGAAAATAAGTGAGGTCCTGCTCCTCGATGGTGGCGTAATGGGAACACATATCTCCTGTTTACCATGAAAGCTCTTTGCCCTTCTTTTGCAGCACAACGTCTCAATTAGAGCTATGCACGAGGGGATGCAAGCAGCAATAATAATTGAATTAGACTTAACACTAGGCTAGATCAGTGACGCCACGCCCAAAGCAGGAATAGATTACTTAGTCCAGATAACAAGTTCTGATGTGCTATCTGTATTTTGTAGTTAGTTATGTGAGTTGTAAACATTTGCTGTGCACTCAATGCGTGGAAGACGTCAAGTCCCAGGGTCCGGTTTTTGAATATCCTTGTCCTCAGTGCAAGGCCCCAATTGAGTCTTGCTTAGACTGTTTCCCCAATTTATTAGAGTTATAATTATGGCTCGTTTAGAGATAGAAGTACAGTACTTCCGGAAATTGGTGTCACCACCTACACTCTTCGATTGTTTCTCGACCGGGAATGCCAAGATATTATATACCTACTATCAGAAATAGTGCCGGAATAACAATATTACTGTACAATTTCACTCTCTGTACGGTAATATAGTTACTCGAATTATTACATGACTAAGGTCTCGTAACCGTAGGAGGCAAGTCATATCCAGAATTTTCCATGGAAATGCTGAAGCTGGAGTTTTCCCTTGAGAATATCCGAAAAATTGATGGAACCCAACAGCAAAGAATGACAGTGACAATGCCTTGTCTCGTAAATTCATCAGTGCTCCCAGGCCCTTAATTTGCAAAGAGATCTGAAACGCAAGAGTGTAAAAGATGACATTCTGTAAGATATGCTTTCTAAAAGGGATTCAGTGCCCCGGAAGGAGATGTAATAGTCTGGGGGAATCAAAGGTAAATACTAGCACTCGTCCTGAATGGCAACCAACACATATTGTCGATAGTGACACGGCAATAGAATGTGGGCGAGACTCCTGTGGTAACCATAGCAGATGCTCCGAGTTTCAAGTAATCCATGTACTATCAGAGCTTATACTACACCCTTCAAATCGTGGCACTTCGGGTTCGGTGTTGGTCAGTCCTATATCCGGAATTAAAGATAAACGAACAGTACCGTCATTAAATTCAAGATATGAGTTCGTAATATTGAATGATTCCATAGATGCGGCTTTTCCAATATTGAGGGTCTGTAGGCATCGGCCAGTCCTGGTATCCCGCATCTTGACGGTGTGATCGTATGAAGCCGTGGCGAGGAACTTGGAATCATGGGAGAAGGTGACAAAGTTGACTGAGCCGTTATGGCCGTCGAGAGTCTGTAGGTATTGGCCAGTGCTGGAATCCCACATCTTGATGGTGCAATTGCATGAAGCTGAGGCGAGGAGCTTGGAATCATGGGAGAAGGTGACCGAGTAGACTGAGCCGTTATGGCCGTTGAAAGTCTGTAGGCATTGGCCAGTGCCGGAATCCCACATCTTGATGGTGCAATCGTGTGAAGCTGAGGCGAGGAACTTGGAATCATGGGAGAAGGTGACCGAGCTGACTGGGAAATTATGACCCTCGAGGGTCTGTAGGCATTGGCCAGTACTAACATCCTACACCTTGGTGTGACCGTGTGAAGCTGAGGCGAAAAACTTGGAATCATGGGAGAAGATGACCAAGCGGATCCTGTAGTTATGGCCCTTAAGGGTCTGGAGACATTGGCCGGTGCTGGGATCCCACACCTTGACGGTTTGATCATCTAAAGCTGAGGCGAGGAACTTAGAATCATGGGAGAAGGTGACTGAGCGGACCAAGCTGTTATGGCCCTCGAGGGTCTGTAGACATTGGCCAGTGCTGGAATCCCACATCTTGATGATGCAATCGTATGAAGCTGAGGCGAGGAATTTGGAATCATAGGAGAAGGTGACCGAGCTGACTGGGAGATTATGACCCTCGAGGATCTATAGGTATTGGCCGGTGCCGGAATCCCATACCTTGACGGTGTGATCGTCTGAAGCTGAGGCGAGGAACTTCGAATCATGGGAGAAGGTGACTAAGTTGACTAGGTCGTCATGGCCTTCGAGGGTCTGTAGGCAGGCGCTCCAGCGCTTCTCCATGGTTGGTTTTCCAATTATCCATGCTGGTTCCTGTGTTTGAAATTGAATCCTTGTTATGCTCTCAGTTGGGCTAAATATCAGTCGAGAAGATTGCAGACTAGTACGTCTCATTTCTTGTGTAAAGTAACTACTGGGAAGCTGTTAGGTCTCAGTGGGTTCTTTAGTGGAGGGCTTTGGAAGGTGCCTGTGGACTTATGTTATTTACTCATATTAAAGATATCCTTCATTTGTGTTGCTGTAGAGAGCTTCTCTTGCCAAAATTGTTGTTAAGACCATCTAGTTATCCTGTAGAAGTCTGTCTTTGAGCAGAGGCCTGAGCAGTAGTTGTGTAAAGCTTTCTTGCAGTCTTTATTCTACCAAGGTTATTCTATGCCTTGTGTCAGGGTTCTCTTAGCAGAGCCTCTATATGCTCCTTAGATTACAGATGTCAGTTTTTTGGCAAGGGCATCGAGGTCTTCTTCTATCATGGTTGAGTTCTCGATACTAGCAAGATTAGAGGTGAGGAGTAAGAGGAAGCAGATATGGTCTAGTGTGTCAAATCTCAGTTTCTGAGCTGTTTCCTTGTATCTCTGATCCCATGGTACAGTGGTGATTAGTGGTTGATGATCTGAGGTTGTATCTAGGTGGCTCGCTATGCTGGCCTTAGCTCCCGCGAGTGCTAGAGGGCTTGAGACAAAACTAAGGTCTAACATGTTACCCCTTTCATATGTGGGACAATCTATGTCAGAGATAAGTACTAGACCCTGGAGGTCCAGCCAGTTAATAAACGGCTCTGCAGAGGGTGTGGGGCTGCGATGTAGCGAGGGCTGCTATCTATTATATAGTAGGTTGAGATCGCCTGCGAGTATCATTGCTTGAGGGAAATATGCCTCTGGCAGGGTTGTAAGAGCTTTCGCGGCTTTGCCTGCTCTAATGGAGCCTACTGGGGCATTATAGATATTAACTATCAGAGCGGACTTTCCTGTGGGCGAAAAAATCTAAAGGAATAGGAGATATGAGGCTTCTTTAGTATTAGTTATAAAGGGGCATAGCTAGAAGGTCCGGATGCCTTTCTTCTTTCGGACATAGATGAGGACTCGTGATCGGCCACTTATTGCCCAGCTATCAGTTGGGGAGAAGCATTCATATGATGGATGTTTTTTAGTGATCTGTCGGCTGAGGTCTTTAAATGTATATAGTTCTTGGATTAGGATAATATCAATATTACTAGTGTATGCCAATGTAAGGGCTATTTCATGTGCGTCTAGCGCGTGCCCTACATTTAACTGTAGGATTTTGAGAGGCACCTTTTGAGTTGGATAGTAATAGATTATAGCTCCTGTTCAAGAAGAGAGGCGAACTAGTTTTGTGGTTAAGGGGTTGTAAAACAGACTGCACGAGCTGTAATGGGAGGATTTTCAGTTGGGGCGCGAGGTAGGGGGGTTACTGAACGGAAAGGAGAGATAATCTTATAGATTAAAGGCTGTGATGGCATCTCATCTAATGCCATAGGTGTTTCTTGTGTATCTATAGAGAGCTGAGAGCTACATCCTCCTTTAGTTTGAGCTTTTGCGAGGTTTATGGCGCAGGATTTGCGGATCTCTGTTTGTTGAGCTTTAGTATGTTTAGTATTGCCTTTGGGGCGTAGAAGGCATTCTGCGAAATCAGCTAGATGTAGTCCATAGCAGTGTATGCATCTAAGAGGGCATTGATAAGGCTCTAGGGCTGTGCAGTGGTTGACATAGCCCTCTTCAGTATGCTCTGAGGAGCCGCATAGTTAGCATTGAGAGGGGTGTACACAGGATCATGCATTATGCCATTTCCAGCATCGTGTGCATTGAATAACTGTTGTTTTCTTAGAGAGGTGACAAGCATTAGTGATAGTGCTAAAAAGATATAGCTGGATAGGCAGTGGTAATTTCATGCCTTCTGGGAAGTTGACAAACCAGCTTGAGGAGAGAGTATCAGGGTTGGCAGCGCTCGTAGTGGTCTTACTAATAGATATAGGCTTGAGCCCTGTAGTTTTGCTAATTTCTAAGGATAGTAGTATAGGATTGACAGGGATTAGAGAGTATTGACCATCCAAGATTTGGCTAATTTTCCTTGGCACGTTGGTGACTCAGTACGAGACCCATCGGGAGCTGCATTCTATCTGGCAGTTAACAAAGAATGCAGAGATAGTCTCTTTTTGGGTCTCAAGGGCTAGGAGGGCTTCTGGAGATGAGGGACATAGTGCAAAGCCAGTCTTTATAGCTTGGACTTCTTTTAGTGCTGCACTATTTAAGTTTAGTTGAGATCGTAGGCTAGAGTAGATAGCGTAGGCTTCCATTTTTCTGGCTGCATGGTCAGCTGGGAGGCGTACGAAGAGCCAGATGTCAGGAAGGGGTTGTTTTACTAGAGACATCGGCTTTTTGATGGAGGCTTTAGGGTAAGTGGTGGGAGTTAATTTGACTGGGGCATATTGGGTAATAGTTGTATAAGTTGACTGGTTAAGACCTGAGGGGGGACGTGAGGGAGGGGGTGAAGGGGGTAAGGGATTTAGGGTGGGGGAAGAGGAAGGGGAAGGAGACAGGGCAGGTAGAATAGAGGTTATCGAGATACCGCTGATATAAGCGTTGAAATGTTATTAAGCTATCGAGGCGAGGTCATTACTTAGAGTGGTGAGGGCTCTCAGTAGGTGAGGAGCAAGGCCGGTGGTTTGGCTGCGGTGTTTATCAAGGAATACAGCTATGGGGCTGAAGATCTTCTCTTCTTCAGAAGCTCTTGTTGTGGCTACAGACGTGGATTCCAGAAGGGCTGTCTGTAGAGGGCCGTCTGTACCAGGGCCTTTACGCGCCATGGTGTTGCCGGGCGCGTTGAGACGCGTCAAAGGCTGCACTCCTGGGAGCTAGGTGGTAGAGAGGGTTGAGGATTTTGAGCCTCCGACTGTTTGATATGAATAATTATAAGGAAGTCGCCTTTCAACTCGAAAATCGTTTTGGTCCCAGATATCAGTGTGTTGGATATTTGATACGCTAATCCCAATCAGGATGTCATTACTAATCATGATTCCTCGGAATAACGACATATCCGTGAGAACATGAGAGCCAAACTCAAGCCTACATTTTGGAGTCAGGATTGTCATTTATCCCGTAAATCCGTGATACTTTGCCACTATGATGTGTATATAAAGAGGATCAAGATGTGTAGTTAGCTATGTTTTAGAAGACGTGCAAATCAGAGTCAATTATTCCTCACCCAAATTGTACAACTCCTATCAGAGCCTAACCCCGATCAGTCAAAATGGTTGCAATCGAGGACGCAGTTGATTATTCGAATTCCTTGGAAGAAGCTGAACAGATTAGTTTTACTTTAGTTGCACAAAATGTGTAAAGAATATGATCATAAGGTCACATGGTGACCAGTGAATGTTGAAGATTAGGTAAGCTAAACCTAATTAAGGGCTCCCACTAGTGAAAATCTGTGGTGTCCTTAACAATTCCCAGCGCTTCTCCGTTCCTTAGTCAGGAACGGTCTTGCATCTACTGAGGAGAGCGCAACCCTAACCCTGCATCACGTGGATCGGCAATACGGAAATAGTATATCCGATGGATTGGATTTGTAATGCTTGGCTAAGCAAAATTATAAGCTGTAA